CTTCCGCAGTAGCTGCATTAACTGAAGTTTCATCTGCTGATGAATCTGAATTGACCAAATTGATCTCGACTATTGATGCTAATTACTTGCAGAAATACGAAGAGAATAAGAAACACTGGGGTGGTGGTATAATGGGCTCAAAGGCTAATGACAAAATCGCTAAAAAGGCAAAGATTGCTGCTTCAGCTGCTTCTGGTCACAATTAATCTTTTATCACTTTTGAGCAAAGCGAGATAATGGAGCATCGACTAGTGGATCATTGACTAGCGACAGATTATAGTAGAGTAGATTATGCTCTAGGAAATAATTGACGGGTTTTGTATAGTAGTATAAAAAATTAATGTAAACATTGAAATCCACTATCAAGCGGAGTAGTCAATGTGCTCACGACACTATCGAGTAAAGTGAGATAGCGGAGCAACACTGGAGCTTGTCACAACACTATCGAGCAGAGCGAGATAGCGGAGCTTGTCACAACACTGGAGCTTATGCTTATCTTCTTCTTATGCCTATACCTTCCTATCTTTCTTACCTTTCCTACCTCTCTTACCTCTCTTACCTCTCCCACCTTTCCGTCTACAATTATCCTAATTATGCTTCTACACTTATCCCCTCTCTGCTCACGCTCCACCATCTCAAAGAAAGCAAAAGAGGAGTAAAGGCAATTCCATACAGGGCATCGTTTTATAAGTACAGCACTATCGAGCAAACCGAGATAGTGGAGCATTGACTAGTGGAGCATTGACTAGTGGAGCATTGACTAGTGGAGCATTGACTAGTGGAGCATTGACTAGTGGAGCATTGACTAGTGGAGCATTGACTAGTGGAGCATTGACTAGTAGAACATCGACAAGTAGAGCAATGACTAGCGACAGATTATAGTAGAGTAGATTATTGTAGATTATAGTAAGTTATTTATTTCTACAAGATCCGTAAAAATGTATTGTGTAGTTCAAAACAATTGTCTAGTGGTGATAGATGTTCTCAATTGTGTTCTTCAAAACAATTGTCTAGTGGTGAAAGATGTTGATTTTTTGCGCTTTTGTATTTTGCAATAGTAAGGTAAAATCCTGAGCGCAAGTTTATTTATCTGACACTATCGAGCGACACTAGGGAGCGACACTATCGAGCAGAGCGAGATGGTGTCGCTCAATAGTGGAGCACTACTGACTAGCTTGTTGAAACACTATCGAGCAGAGCGAGATAGTGGAGCAGTACTGACTAGCTTGTTGAAACACTATCGAGCAGAGCGAGATAGTGGAGCAGTACTGACTAGCTTGTTGAAACACTATCGAGCAGAGCGAGATAGTGGAGCAGTACTGACTAGCTTGTTGCAACACTATCGAGCAGAGCGAATTAGTATCGCTCGATAGTGAAGCAGTACTGACTAGCTTGTTGCAACACTATCGAGCAGAGCGAATTAGTATCGCTCGATAGTGAAGCAGTACTGACTAGCTTGTTGCAACACTATCGAGCAGAGCGAATTAGTATCGCTCGATAGTGGAGCAGTACTGACTAGCTTGTTACAACACTATCTCGCTCTGCTCGATAGTGTTGGTCGATAGTGTCGCTCGATAGTGGAGTCATAGAGACTAGCTTGTTACAACACTATCTCGCTCTGCTCGATAGTGTTGGTCGATAGTGTTGGTCGATAGTGTTGGTCGATAGTGTCGCTCAATAGTGTTGATCGATAGTTTCTAGAAATAAGCCAAATAGTCTCAACGGATTTGTTCTACAACTAATTTTAAAAACAATCAGATTATTGTCCCTTTAACATAAATTAATGCGTGACATTTTTCCTTTTGTTACCAAGTCAAACCAAATCGATTTATTGGTGACAATAGTGAGTCAACTGAGTTGACAATAGGGTGTTACCTGTAATTTATCACTGACGTACCATGGTAGAATAATTTTTTCATGACATGATGACATGTATCTATTCACGACGAGTACCTTTTCATGACGGGTCCATTTTCTTGTTGTGCTCATGTCATATTCCGAGAAATACGGAGTTAGTGAAACAGTTCCGAAAATTAAGGAATTCTGCGGAGAAACAAACAAACAAAAAAAAGAATGGTATTTATCCGCAACCAAATAAAGTTTTAAATGAAGAACACTAGCGAGCAAAGCGAAAGCAAAAAGCGAGCTAGTAGAGCAGTATGCAATCAAACCCATCTTGTAGACAAGAGTAGTCTGTCGATGAGAGTGGTCTCTCGAGTTACTTTCTCTCTTCTCTAGTAACTCAAGGGTATATTGGAAACATTTGATTCTCCTCTCACTAATGTCTAATTAACTATATATTAAAAAGAAAAACTATCATGTAAACCTTATTTAAAGCGATTAAAAGCTAAAAGCTATTAAAACCATTAAGGTATAGTTATAAGTATTACTATTAAGGTATTGCTATTAAGGTATAGCTATTAAGGTATAGCCATTAAGGTATAGTCATTAAAGCTCTAGCCATTATGTTGCTCGATAGTGTTGCTTGATAACAGGAAATCCTTGAGTACTCGGAAAAATATTGACTTACAGCGCCTCTTCTTAATCATTTCCGTGTTGTGGACTTTTTTTTGTCGCTTCAGCCGCAAAATCTGACTATACTAACATCAGTAACAATATCATACATTATTATAGCTAGCTTATTATAGCTAGCTTATTATAGCTAGTTTATTATCTTATTATAGTAACTAGCTCCTATTCGGAGCTAAGGTAAAATAGAATTTCAATTCTTTCTTATTAGAGGTGTTTCTTTATGGAACAAGGTGAAATATAATTCAATTCTCACTTATTGTATCGGAACTACTTCCCTTTATGGAAATACCACCGGTTCGACATGTAGCTGAATGAAATTAATCTACTTTGATGCGCACACTCTCATACGCACACTCTCATACGCACACTCTCATCAACTCTCGCGCGCACACTCATCAACCTTGCATTTCAATATATCCGTTATCCGTTAACCATTTTCCCTTCTTTTATTTGCTAGAGAGATGAGCTTTAGCTGAAAAAATTTATTCATTTATTTCTTTTCTTATTGCTTATTGCTTATTGCTTTATAGTTTATCAATTTCAAGTGGAAAATCAGTTTCTATATACTATATAAATAGAGGAAAATTCCCTGGAAACCCCAACCCCTCCCCCTACCCTACCCTCATATTTCTTTTTAAGGGTGGTTTCTCTTTCTCTTAAAGTAGATTGCTATAATGTCTATAGCCAGTACCGAGTCCAAAAGAGACTCTGATTCTAGGCTAGAAAAACAACAAACATTCTCTAGCTCGGATCAGCATTCGATTGGCGAGTATCAAGGTTTGCAGAATGATGACAAGGATATAAGAGACTTGGCTAGGCAATTCACCTCGGAATCCGATAAGGAAAACCGCACAGCTTATGGGCTACAACGGTATCTCACAAATATGTCTCAAGTGCCAGGCATAAATCCGGTAAATAATTGTTCAGATGTCGAAAGACTAGATCCTAACTCGGATAACTTTGAAGCTAAGTTCTGGGTTAAGAACTTGAGAAAGCTAATGGAATTGGATTCCGAGTATTACAAACCAGCCAAATTGGGAGTAGCATATCGTGACCTTCGAGCTTATGGAGTAGCCAGCGATGTCGATTACCAACCAACTGTAACCAATGCACTTTGGAAATTGGCTACCGAAGGTTTCAGAATGATTAGAAAGGAGAAAGAATCGGAATTGTTCAATATACTAAAACATATGGACGCTATAATTAGACCGGGTGAAGTCACAGTGGTTTTAGGACGTCCAGGTAGTGGTTGCTCAACATTACTAAAGACAATTGCCGTAAACACATATGGTTTCCATGTTGGCAAAGAATCAAAAATCACATATGATGGATTATCTGCAAAGGACATTGCAAAACACTATAGAGGCGATGTTATCTATTCCGCAGAAACCGATGTCCATTTCCCGCATTTGACCGTGGGGAACACCTTGGATTTCGCCGCTAGGCTTCGAACGCCTCACAATCGAGGACCAGACGTGGATAGAGAAGCTTATGCTAAACATCTAGCAAGTGTATATATGGCCACATATGGATTGTCCCATACAAGGAACACAAATGTGGGGAACGATTTCATTAGAGGTGTTTCTGGTGGTGAACGAAAAAGAGTCTCGATTGCAGAAGCATCGCTAAATGGCGCAAATATACAATGTTGGGATAACGCAACAAGAGGTTTGGATGCTGCGACTGCTTTAGAGTTTATTAGAGCTTTGAAGACGTCTGCTACCGTCTTGGACATCACGCCTTTGATTGCCATTTATCAATGTTCGCAAGATGCTTACGATTTATTCGATAAAGTAATTGTCTTGTATGAAGGATACCAAATTTATTTCGGTAGAGCAGATAAGGCAAAGGAATACTTTATAAATATGGGTTACGAGTGCCCTGAAAGACAAACCACTGCAGACTTTTTAACTTCCATCACCAATCCCGAAGAAAGGATAGTTCGTTCAGGTTTCGAAAATAGAGTTCCAAGAGCTGCCGAGGAGTTTGATGCATATTGGAAAAGATCACCCGAATATACTGCATTAATACAAGAAATTGACCAACATTTTATCGAATGTGAGAGCATGAATACGAAAGAAACTTATCATGATTCTCATGTTGCTAAACAATCTAAACACGTTAGAGCCACGTCACCTTATACTGTTTCTTTCTTTATGCAAGTGAAGTATATTATGCATAGAAACTGGCTCAGAACAAAGGGAGATCCTTCAATATCGCTATTTTCTATCATTGGTCAATTCGTTATGGGTCTTATTTTGTCGTCGGTTTTCTACAATCTCGACCAAACTACTCAGTCCTTTTACTATAGAGGCGCTGCAATGTTTTTTGCTGTTTTATATAATGCATTTTCTTCACTTTTGGAAATCATGGCACTTTTTGAAGCCAGACCCATTGTTGAAAAACATAAAAAGTATGCGCTATATCGACCTTCGGCTGATGCTTTGGCTGGTATAATAACGGAGTTGCCAGTCAAGTTTCTAATGTCAATGTCGTTTAATTTGGTTTTTTATTTCATGGTCAACTTTAGAAGAAATCCCGGGAGGTTTTTCTTTTACTTGTTGATGTGCGTGTGGTGTACATTGGTTATGTCACATTTATTTAGATCCATTGGTGCAGTTTCAACATCACTTGCAGGGGCCATGACACCAGCTATTGTTTTGTTATTGGCGATGGTTATTTACACAGGGTTCGTTATTCCCACGCCATTGATGTTGGGTTGGTCCAGATGGATCAATTATATAAATCCAGTGGGATACGTGTTTGAGTCTCTTATGGTTAACGAGTTCCACAATCGTGAGTTTGAATGTGCAAATTTTATTCCGGCTGGACCAGGTTTTGAGAATATTTCAAACAGCAACAGAGTATGTACCACAGTAGGATCCAAACCAGGTAATAGTATGGTTAATGGGACAGATTATGTTGCTCAATTATACGAGTACTACAATGGACACAAATGGAGAAACTTGGGTATAACAATTGGCTTTGCATTTTTCTTTTTGTTTGTATACATATTCTTAACAGAGTTTAACAAGGGTGCTATGCAAAAGGGAGAAATTGTTTTGTTTTTGAGAGGTTCCCTAAAGAAGATAAGAAAGGCAAAGAGAGAGAAAAAAGGAAAAGGAAAAGCAGATTCGGAGTCTGGAGGTATTTCTAATGAAAAAGTGGGCTATGAGGCCGAAATCGAAGCAAAAAGATTTGAAGAAGAAGGTGGTGGTGACACCAAAGAATCTGCTTTGAAAAATGGAATTGAATTACCAGAAAATAAAGAGATTTTCTTGTGGAGAAACTTGACATATCAGGTTAAGATCAAAAAGGAAGATAGGGTTATATTGGATCATGTTGATGGATGGGTTAAACCTGGTCAAATCACTGCTTTGATGGGAGCATCTGGTGCTGGTAAGACTACTTTATTGAATTGTTTATCCGAGAGAGTTACCACTGGTGTTATTACAGATGGTACGAGAATGGTTAATGGACATTCATTAGACTCTTCTTTTCAGAGATCCATTGGGTACGTTCAGCAGCAAGATTTGCATTTGGCAGCATCAACTGTTAGAGAAGCATTACAATTTTCGGCTTATTTACGTCAATCGGACAAAATTCCAAAGAAGGAAAAGGATGAATATGTTGATTATGTTATCGATTTGTTAGAAATGACTGACTATGCAGATGCAATGGTGGGAGTTGCTGGAGAGGGGTTGAATGTTGAGCAACGTAAAAGATTAACAATTGGTGTTGAACTAGTTGCCAAGCCAAAGTTGTTATTGTTTCTTGATGAACCAACTTCGGGTTTGGATTCTCAAACGGCATGGTCAATTTGTAAATTGATGAGAAAGTTGGCTGATCATGGACAAGCAATTTTGTGTACAATCCATCAACCTTCTGCCATTTTGATGAAAGAATTTGACAGATTATTGTTTTTGCAAAAAGGAGGCCAAACTGTATATTTTGGTGATTTGGGTGAAGGATGCCAGACATTAATCGATTACTTTGAGAAGAAAGGTGCAGATCCTTGTCCCAAGGATGCTAATCCTGCAGAGTGGATGTTACATGTAGTTGGTGCTGCTCCTGGGTCACACGCAAAAGCAGATTACTCGGAAGTTTGGAGAAACTCTAAAGAGTACGAAGCTGTCCAGCAGGATTTAAACAAGATGGAAACCGAACTATCCAAATTACCTAGAGACCAAGACCCAGAAACCAAGTTAAGGTATGCTGCCCCCATATGGAAACAATATTTGGTTGTTAGTCAGAGAGCAATTGTTCAAAATTGGAGATCGCCAGGGTATATATATGCGAAATTGTTTTTGGTTCTTGCAGCATCGATTTTCAATGGATTTTCATTCTTCAAAGCAGGCACGTCAATGCAAGGAATGCAAAATCAAATGTTTTCCATATTTATGTTTTTCGTTCCATTTAGTACTTTGGTTCAACAAATGTTACCGTACTATATTAGACATAGAGATGTGTATGAGACAAGAGAAGCGCCTTCAAGGACATTCAGTTGGTTTGCTTTTATCACTGGTCAAATCACGTCTGAAATTCCCTATCAGGCAGTGATTGGTACCTTGTCTTTTTTTTGTTGGTACTACCCTGTTGGACTTTATAGAAATGCTGAACCTACAGATGCTGTTAACTCAAGAGGTGTTTTAATGTGGTTGTTTTTAACGGCGTTTTTTGTTTACACTTCGACTATGGGACAGTTGTGCATTTCATTTATGGAACAGGAAATAAATGCTGCTAATCTTGCCGTTATGTTGTTTACACTTTGTCTTAACTTTTGTGGTGTTCTTGCTACTAAAGACGCTTTACCCGGTTTCTGGATCTTTATGTACTATTGCAATCCATTTACGTATATGGTACAGGGTATTATGGCTACAGGATTGGCGAATACCCAGGTTGTATGCAGAGCCTCAGAGTTTGTTACGGTTGTTCCACCTAGTGGAGATACATGTAGCAGTTATATGGATCCATATATTCAAACGTTTGGAGGGTATGTCGAGGTTATTAATGGCGAATGTAGATTTTGCCAGATGAGGTACACAAATGCGTTTTTACATTCGATTAACGCAGAGTTTAATCAAAGGTGGAGAAACTGGGGGATTGTTATATCTTTTATTGCTATAAATATGGTTTTAACAACAGGGCTTTACTGGCTAGCTCGTGTACCAAAAGGAAATAGAGAAAGAAAACATAAAAAGTAATAATCAAAGAACTTTTAGGGAGTATTTTTTTTTTTTAGGGGCGGTGGAGGAAATGAGTTTTTAGTTTTGTACTTGATTTAAATTCTGAGAGTATAGATTATAAATATACTTATAGTAGAACTTATTAACCTATTATTTATTATTCGTAGGTACTATGGGACACTATCGAGCACACAGACCAGCTTGTTGGTTTACAGACTAGGTTGTTGGTTTACAGACTAGGTTGTTGGTTTACAGACTAGGTTGTTGGTTTACAGACTAGGTTGTTGGTTTACAGACTAGGTTGTTGGTTTACAGACTAGGTTGTTGGTTTACAGACTAGCTTGTTGGTTTACTAGCTTCTTGGTTTACAGACCAGCTTGTTAGTTTACAGACTGATTTTCTTTATCTGATATATAGGCATTTATTTATTTTTATTTTTATTTTTAATTTTTCAGATTTTTTGCGATGAGCATCTCATTGCAAAAAAAGAAGAAAATAGAGTTGATATTCAAGGTTAACAATCCTTTTGTTATACTTGAAATGTCAGACGTCGAGGATTTCGATATTGCCAACTCACTTGCTGTAAGGTCTGATGATGAATTCAGTGAGTCTAGCTATAGCGACAGCGGCGAGGAGGAGCTTTTAGATGAAATAGTTTCTCTGGATGATGAAGATGAAGCACCAAATTCAAAGAAAAGAACGAAAACAAACAATAAAGAAGCATTCCCCAAATTAGAGATATCAGATGACGAAAATGGTAGTAATGATGAAGACGATAATGATGAAACATTGAGTACATACTTTGTCAAAAACAACCCCACGGCAAAAAAGGCCAAAGCAGGTTCATTTGCCTCGTTTGGTTTATCTAAATTCTTACTTGGTAATATTGCCAAAAAGGGGTATAAGCAGCCGACACCTGTGCAAAGAAAATCGATTCCTTTGGTTATGGATAATAGAGATGTTGTTGGAATGGCAAGAACGGGGTCGGGTAAGACTGCAGCCTTTGTGTTGCCTTTGATTGAGAAATTAAAACTGCGAAGTCCAGGTGGTGTGAGAGCTGTTATATTATCACCATCAAGAGAACTTGCGTTGCAGACATATAAGCAAGTGAAGGAATTTAGTCGTGGTACGAATTTGCAGTCTATAGTGATAATTGGTGGTGACTCGTTGGAAGAGGATTTTGGCAAAATGATGACAAAACCAGATATCATAGTGTGCACGCCTGGTAGGTTTTTGCATTTGCAAGTGGAAATGCTGTACGATTTAACCACTGTGAAATATATAGTGTTTGACGAAGCAGATAGACTTTTCGAGATGGGGTTTGCTGAGCAGTTGAATGAACTATTACTTGCCTTGCCCCCAAATAGACAGTCTTTGTTGTTTTCAGCAACATTACCAAGATCCTTAGTTGATTTTGCAAAAGCAGGATTGAGCAATCCCGTGTTGGTTAGACTCGATGCTGATTCTAAGATTTCAGAGAATTTACAAATGGCCTTTTTCACAACCAAGAAAAACGAAAGGGAAGCAAATCTTTTTTACATATTGCAAGAGATTATAAAAATGCCCTTGGGCACTCCAGAGGAAGTGAACAGATTGATTGCTATGGATAAACGAGCGGTCGAGGAAGATGACGACGAAAACGAAAAGGAGAAGGAGAAGGAGAATGATCACAAGGGAAAGAAGAGGAAATACAAGTTCACAAAAGAGCGAATGCCTTCAGCAAGCCAATTACCATCGGAAAAATCAACTATTATTTTTGTTCCAACCAAGCATCATGTGGAGTATGTGACTAAGCTCTTGCGAGCGGCTGGATATTTAGTCTCGTACATTTATGGTACCTTAGACCAACATGCAAGGAAAAACCAACTTTACCAATTCAAAACTGGTCTCACAAAAATTCTTGTTGTTACTGATGTTGCAGCAAGAGGTATTGATATACCGGTATTGGCAAATGTTATCAACTTTACATTACCTGGTTCGTCCAAGATTTTCATACACAGAGTTGGTCGTACAGCAAGAGCAGGTAATAAAGGTTGGGCTTATTCAATAGTCAATGAAAAGGAGTTACCGTATCTTTTGGACTTGGAACTCTTTTTGGGTAAAAAGTTGCTATTGACAAAAATGCACGAAGCGAAATGCGAGATGTTAAAGAAGAAGCAAGGTAGTTCATACATTGCACCACGCGTCAACTATACCGAAAGGCTTGTGGTTGGTGCAATACCAAGAATGAACATTGAAATTTTTCAAGAACTTTATGAGAATTTGCTTAGAAATGATTACGAGATCAAAGTGTTGAAAGATGTGGCAGCCAAGGGTGAGAAATTGTATTACAGAACACGACAACCTGCATCTCGAGAATCATTGAAAAGGAGCAAGGAGATAATGGATACAACCTCATGGGACGAACAGCATTTGTTGTTTGGAGAAGAGAATGCGGAAAAGCTAAAGGATGAGTTTTTGGCCAAGTTGCAGAATAGAAATGTCAAAGAAACTGTATTTGAAATCAAAAAGAAGGGAGCTAACGAGAACAGTAGCCTTGCTGAGTTCATGCACAAGCGAAGACGTCAACTCGAATTGATTCAACGTAAAGCTCAAGAGCGAAGGGACTTGCTACAAAAGGAAAAATTAGCTACAATCTCTCACAGTATAGAAGAAGAAGAGGAGATGTTGAACACCAAGGACAAAAACAGAACTGTCGATGAGAATGAACTAAAAGAAACTTTCCAGGATAGTGAAGAATTGGTTAAACCAAAGAAAAGCTACCGTGATCCTCAATTTTTTATGAGCCATTATGCGCCAGCATCAGTAATCCAGGATCAACAATTATCAATTGCTTCATCTTTTGCAAACGACGCTCAAGCAGCAGCATTTGACTTGGAAAATGATGACAAGTTGCGTAACAATAAGCAAGTAATGAAATGGGATAAAAAGAAGGGCAAGTATGTCAATTCATATTCCACTGATAAGAAATATATAATCAGTGAGAGTGGTACGAGAATACCTGCTTCATTCAGATCAGGCAAATTCGATGAATGGAAGAAACAAAGAAATCTAAAGACAACAACAGCATCAACAAGCACCATTAATGATACCAATTACGGTGACAAACGGTTTAAACATAATAAAAAACAAACTCCCAAACTACCAGATAAGTACAGAGACGATTTCCATAAACAGAAAAAGAAGGTTGAAAAAGCTCTTGATTCAGGTATGAGAGTTAAAGGTTACAACAAACCAGGACAACAACAAGAGTTGAAGTCCACGGAGCAAATAAGAAAAGCAAGAGCTGTAAAAGAGCAAAGAAGAGCCAAAAATGCTCGCCCTAGTAAAAAAAGATAAGGTCAATACAACAGTAGTATACATATATATATATATATATATATATATATATGTGCGTGTGTATACATATAAATCAAATACGGATGGATTGCAAACTAGTATCTCCGGCTGCTTCTATTATATGGATGATAACCGCGTCCTCTCCTGTAGCCGCCTCTTCCTCCACGAGGTCCACTTGGAGGTAATCTCTTAGGTCCAGTGGGAATATTTGGTTTTTCCGGCACAGAACCATTATCGCCTCTAGGTGGAGAATTCTCTTGCTTTACACCTTCGCTATTTGTGTTATCATTTGCATCATTTTCTTCGGCTTGTTGCTGCGGATTCAAAGGTTGAACAGGTTGTTGTGCTGTGCCACCAGCACCGCCAGCACCAGATTGTTGTTGTTGCTGTTGCGCTTGTTGGTACATCATCCATTGAAAGTATCTCATATATTCCTGATTCATTGCCGGGTTCATTTGCATTTGAGGATACATTTGACCATATTGTGCTCCGTAGGGATTATATAGCTGACCAGACTGCTGTTGAGCTTGTTGTTGAGCTTGTTGTTGAGCCTGCTGCTGCTGCTGCTGCTGCTGCATTGCAACCTGTTGATTATGTTGGCCTCTTGGTGCCGCCCGTTTCACCTCCATTGACTTTCCTTTAAGTTTCAAGTATTTATTCACGCACACTCTGTCCACAGCGTCAGGCGAGTCAAAAGTGATAAAACCAAATCCCCTCGATCTTCCGGTATCCTTATCAATCATCAATTGGCAATCAATAATACTACCAAATTTAGAAAAAAACTCATTGAACTCTTTCTCGGTGACCATTGGGTCAATTCCTCCAATAAATATTTTACCAACTCTATCTTGATCCTCTCTTGCAATAGCTCGCTTGGGATCAATCAATTTTCCATCCAATATATGTTCCTCTTTGATAACAGCATCAACAGCACTGGGATCCTTAAACGTTAAAAACCCAAACCCTCTAGATCTACCTGTGGCATTGTCCTTCATAATGGTATAGTCAACAACTTCACCATACTTGGAAAAATGTGCCACCAAGCCTTCCTCAGTTGTGTCCCAATTGAGTCCACCAACAAACATTTTACCGCTATCACGACCTACATCTGACGTGTTGTGTTGAGAAAACGAACCCTGGTTGACCGATTCTGGTACCAGTGAATGAGGAGGTGGCGGAGGAGGACCACCACCTGGTGCTTGGCCAGGCACCGAGGTCATACCAGCGAATTGAGCGAGCTGATTAGGATCAAAGGAGAATTGTGGCGGTATTGTTTGAGGAACGCTGTTTGCGGCATCTGTACCTGTAGAAGAAGTTGACGTTGAAAGAGGAGGAGGAGGCGGTGGTGGTGCCGTTGACTCTTGTTGTTGAGGGGGTGGTACTGCCAGACTCTGGTCCTGGGTAGCTGTTGTTGGTGGCGGCAATGGAATTGTTTGAATATCAGATGCAGTCGCATCATCAGGTGCCTGAGTCACTGAACGCTGTTGAGCTTCACCAGCAGATTCCTTTTCCGTGGATGCATCTTGCTTTTTCTCGGTATTATCTGTAATCTCTTCTTCATCTCCGTACAAGTCTTCGAAGAGAGCTTCATCTTCATCCAAGTTTGACATATTTTTATTTGAATTTTTTTTTTTTTTTCAAAATTCAACCTTTATGGGCAAAGCCTTGTTAACTATGAAATAATTTTACAAAAACTAAACAAATCTTTTCAGTTACAAATTGAAAATGACAGGAAGTTAAAGGTATAGCTTCAAGTTAAAGGTATATGTTCTAAAGTTGAAGGTATATGGCTTCAAGTTAAAGGGATATGGTTTTAAGTTAAAGGGATATGGTTTCAAGGTTTTCTTTTAAATTTGGTAGATGACTTTTGATGAAGTTTTTTCTAGTTTATTGAATATAAACAAACTATGTATGTGTTATACAAATTATACAACAACAACAACAAAAAAAAACCACGAGGAAACTTCCGTTGTAAAATAGATTCAACCAATCTATCCAAAAGAAAAAGGGATTTCTGGCTAGTGTTGACAAGTCTTTGACCGTTAATGTAAAGACAGTACGTTCTATTAGTCTCTTGAGAGTCAATCAAATCTCAAGTTTCAATGTCGAAGAAGAAAAAAAAAAAAAAAGAGGAAATTTTTCGCTTTTCCACGACACACTTGGTAGCACCGGAAAAATTAATAAATGCTGTTTTACCAATGACTATTTGAGATGAGCTTGAGATGAGCTTGAGATGAGCTTGAGATAGAGTAGAATAAATATCAATTGCGAAAGAGAAGCATGTGTTTGTAGAATATCTGATTTGACACACTGGTCATTTGGAGAGTCTTGTATTTTTTTCCTTTTCCTACTGCTCCTTTTCTATCTATTTTACTGCTCCTTTTCTATTTTACTGCTCCTTTTCCATCTATTTTCTCTTTAATAAAGTGAAAAATTATTTTGCATCCTTTTCCAGATGCAAAATAATTCTTCACCAAGGGTAAGGCAAAGGCAAGGCAGTCTGTGTCAAGGACAAGAGAATTAAACCTCTTAATGAAATCGTATTTGGTGCAGTTTGCTCAGGCTCATCCAAAGTTTAGAAAAGCCGAGCTAGAGGCACTTGCCGAGCTCTATAATATCCCAGTAGACTTATCTAAGCATAATGAATCTATACCGTTTCTTGAAATCAAATTGAAAGATGACGACCAAGCCAGAGCTCTTGTCTCACGGGCCATCTTGTCCAAAGGCATATACGAGCTATGGGGTAGTGGAACTACTTATGAGAACTTGTTCAAAGACATAAGGGAACAAAGCCAATCGAAATTTGCTCAGTACAAAAACTCGAGTTTCAAATTTGAATTTGAAAGTTTCAAAGGACGTCAGAGCCACGAGGCCCAAATGGAGATAATGGAATCCTTGTCGTTTCTAGGACTAAAAGGCAGGATAAATCTTAAAACGCCAGATGAGACTTTCACGATTTTTGAGGAGTATCAAGTTTATGGCATGGAAAAAGCCCATACTCCGAAACAATTATGGTTTGGAAGGTTGGTACAATTAAGTGAACGGATAAGAAACAATATTGTTGAAAAATACGATCTAAAGAAACGTAGCTATATAGGAACCACATCTTTTGATGCTGAGTTATCCTTGGTTAGCTGCAATTTGGCACATGTTCAAGAGCAAAGAATTGTATACGATCCATTTGCAGGAACGGGGTCGTTTTTGGTTGCAGCAGCTGGGTTCGGAGCTTTGAATATAGGGTCAGATATCGATACGAGAATGCTAAGTGGTAAGGATAACGTTAACATTGCAACCAACTTTAAAGATTATGGTACATCGACACAATTTATCGATGTCATGACAATGGATTTCACTCATAATGCCTTGAGATCAAATTTCGTTATTGACACAATAATTTGCGACCCACCATATGGAGTCAGAGAAGGTTTGCGGGTGTTGGGAGCCAAAAACAAAGAAAAAGCCGCAGGAAGAGAAACCAATGTTGTTAATGGTGAAATTGCTCATTTGAGGCGAGATTTCATACACCCGAAAAAGCCTTATGAGCTATCAAGTCTACTTGACGACTTATTGCAATTTGCAAGCGTTCGGCTACCAATAGGTGGGAGATTGGCATTTTGGATGCCCACAGCAAATGACGATTTTGAAATTACGCTAATACCGCAACACAAATGCCTTGAGTTGAAATTCAATCTCGAACAACAATTCAACAAATGGTCAAGAAGATTACTTGTTTATGTGAAAAGGGATCAGCTGTATATAGGTGAAACCCGCAATGGGTTAAAAGAGTTGAATATCAAAAGCTTTAGGGAAAGGTATTTCCATGGTTTTAGTGAAAGTAGCCGATAAACAAATAAAAATAAATTTCAAAAAAGAGTTGGCAGGTGAAAATAGGAGGTAAAAGGAATAAGAGTGATAAAATCCGATACTTCCTACTTAGCAAACAAAGTGTATAGAACCCCCCCTAGACAAGTAACTTTACCCTATTAACACTTATGCAATTAGGTGCGTTCAAGGATTTTATGCATATAGAGGTTCTCGCTTTGAACCTATTAGAGAAAAAATTATTCAAGGTATAAATCGTATGCGTTAATGAGTCTTCATTGATTCCTAAAGTTGAGAGCCCAGCAAGGTGGTGGGCTCCGAACCAGGTTCAAGTGATATGCTTTTACAAAGCTGCGTGTATCGAAACGCTATAATCCGACTGTTGTCTTTCTATTTTATTTGGGTCTATATATAAAGAGGATTTTTACCTGCCATGAATTTTCTAGTTAATTAATTAATATCAGATAAGATTTAAGTACAAGATGACTCCTCCAACTATGATACAAACCGCTCCGGTTGTTAATTACAGCTTTGCTCCCACTGAGCCTACCCAAATTAGTTTGAAAACTAGCGCTTCAAATGGTGAGATCAAATTTGCTGATTGGGATAAATTTCAGTTTGCTCCTATTAGAGAGTCAACCGTGTCCCGTGCTATGACCAAGAGATACTTTGCTGATTTGGACAAGTTTTGTGAATCCGATGTTGTGATAGTTGGCGCTGGTTCCGCTGGTTTATCGGCAGCATACGTCTTAGCCAAGAATAGACCCGATTTGAAAATTGCCATTATTGAAGCTTCAGTTTCTCCAGGTGGCGGCTGTTGGTTAGGTGGTCAATTGTTTTCCGCTATGGTTTTAAGAAAGCCTGCTGAACAGTTTTTGGAAAATTTGGGAATTGAGTATGAGGATGAAGGCGACTATGTAGTTGTCAAGCATGCTGCTTTGTTTATGTCAACTTTGCTTTCAAAAGTATTGGCATTCCCAAACATCAAGTTGTTCAATGCTACTGCAGTTGAAGATTTGATCACCAGACGTGATGAGACTACAGGGGAATTGAGAATCGCCGGTGTTGTCACCAACTGGACATTGGTTGCCTTAAACCATGATACTCAATCATGTATGGACCCAAACACAATCAATTGCAACGTTGTGTTGTCAACAACTGGACACGATGGTCCATTTGGAGCCTTCTCAGCAAAGAGATTAGAGGCATTGGGTAAGCCTCGTAGTGATATTACTTCTGGCTTCAAATCTGAGACCGCCGCATCAAACGCAGGTAGCAAACCACTGACCGCTGGTTTCGAATTAGGCGGAATGAGAGGTCTTGACATGAATAAAGCCGAGGATGCTATTGTTAAAGGTACAAGAGAGGTTGTTCCTGGTTTAGTCATTGCTGGTATGGAATTAGCAGAAGTTGATGGATCTAACAGAATGGGTCCTACTTTTGGTGCTATGGCTCTCTCGGGAGTCAAAGCTGCAGAAGCTGTTTTGAACACTATTGATGTCAGAAGAAAGCAAAATGAAAACTGTTACGGAGGATTATCCTTGAACTAAAGCGGTAGAGGGAAAGAAGAAGAAGAAGAAGAAGAAGAATATATATATATATATAGCAAAAGAAGGCGACGGAAACAAAACATGTATATATTACAGTGGTAGTCAATCCATTCTCTATCTTAAAACATATGCCTGTATCTTTCTAGCAGTATCAACTCTTGATCATAAAACCTGCCCAAATAAAAATTGTACATACAAAAGTTTGATGTCTTCGCAAAGTATGAAGTGAAAAAAAAAACAATCCTCTATAAGGAATTGAAAAATTACCAACAAGTAAAGTCAAGATTGCCAAAAGTGGCAGAGATACAAATGGCAGAGATACTAAAGTATGTAGTTTGTATTAGGTTATTATTACTGAACATTTGAACAGCTCTAACATATTTTGAAAGACCGAAAAAGACCAATCCTCGTGGGATTCCTGAAGCGCCGTTTATAGAAAAAGTTGATAATGTAATAAAAGACCCCGACAATGAATTCCAGTCTGTCATGTCTCAGTTCCAGCAAAGACTTCAGCAATATAAATATATGGAATTGTCAAAACAACAACAGCTAGCAGACTTGAATATAAAGATACCTGATATTGAGAAGAATTTGACTGTTATTGATCAGTTAAAGGAGTCAAAACGGGAAGCGCAAGAATACGAAGAAGAAGAAGATATCGAGGAAGAAGGAAAATCTAAGGAATTGACATTCAACTACGAACTCAATGACACGTTGTATAACCAAGCTACGGTCAATTTGGAGAAATTGGATTCCGTTTATTTGTGGTTGGGGGCTGAGGTGATGTTGGAGTACCCACTAGATGAGGCTATTGAACTTTTGAATGAGAGGTTAACCAAAAGCTATGAGCAAAAGACAATTATTGAAGAAGATTTGGAATTTTTAAAAGAAAACATAACTACAATGGAAGTGAACACTGCTAGATTATTCAATTGGGATGTTGAAAGAAGAAAGAAACTTACTTCAAAATAATATGCCTTTGATTCGTTTTTTTTTTTGCTTTCTTTTTTTTTCTTATTAGGTTCTAAAAGTATCAAGAAATTGACTTCCTAAGGGTCTAACCGGTGTTTCTGCCCGGATCTGACTTTCCTGCCGCCTGGTTTCATCCAACAAGTCGTCGTTGTCTTCAGGCTCCTCGCTATTCATCCTGATTGCCGAAGGGTCTGTTGATTCAGAGATTGTCAAAGGCTGGTAACGAGGATTAAATATCCTTTGGTGAATCAATTGTAGACTTTGTAGAAGTTTTCTTCTTGGGTTGATGAATAATTGAAATATGAATTTGGGCACGAACCATGATGTTCCACCAGGAAGAAGATCATATGCATATAGTTTGCCTATTAATAAACCAACAACGGCTGGTATTAAAGACTTGAACCCATTATTCAACAATAGTAGAATAAACAAGGTATGTACTGGAAATTGATTGCTTAGTGTTAATTCTCGACTGGAGTTTTTGTTACTTCGAGCTTTAAAGCTTTCTCCTCCTTCGTCTTCTTCACCACCACCACCACCACCACCAACTTCTTCTCTTCTTTCTTCCAAGCCCTTTGGTTTTTGAAGTAAAATTTTGAAATAATACGAGGTTGGTATATTAACTGCGTATAACACGTATAAGGACGATATGATACCCACGGGTCCAGGAGCAACCTCGTTTAATAGCGATGTCTCGTAATCAACGTGCTTGCGATCGAAACGTAGTATAAATACCTTAATGAAGAAAAACAGATACCTTGTGACCAACTGGCCAATGCTCATAAGTAGAAAACACCCAATAGCGTTGTAGATGGCAAATAACGTAACAACCGAGAGGTACTTTCTCGATCCGTAAAACCTCTCCAATACTTTAAACTGAAACCAAATTAAGGTGCTTAACAAGAAATCCGACTCACTAACAACAGATAATTGGTAAGTTAGGATCCTCCATATTTGATAATACTGAATAATGTAAGGATTAATAATTAAATGAACTACATATTTTATCGACAATATCGACAACACAAGTGGCAAGACTGCTGACACAATACAGATAGACTTCGTAACTGGCGTGTTTGCAAAGCCCCTTATGGGCGTAAATTGGGCCATAGAAGAAGCACAGTTGAAGGTTTAAGAACAAAGTTTGGTTAACCTTTGAAAGCTTTTACGATTTTAAAGATAAAGCCGAAATTTTTTGGGAAATGATATGGTCACGTGCTCTTCAATTTGATAGAAGAAGAATGCAAAGAGACCCCCCCCCCCTCACCTTCAATATGAAACATTGAACATTTGTATTATCAGAACCTATATTGAGTTAAGAAAGAATATGTGCAAGGGAAGAAGATATAGGGAGGGAATTATCCAAAAAGTAAGCTTTTTCTACGATGGGTTGAGTATTGCTCAAAGTCACATAATGAAGTTTCGATACTCCAAAAATCGTCCCAATTTTGTTTATCTTCGGAACTTCTTGTAAAGTTTGCTTTATATCTTGGTCGATCCGAAACGCCAATAAAGTATTGCAGTGAATCGGTAATGGGAAAACCACACTCTTTTGTATAAAAGATGGAGTATACGTCTCTGATTCGAAATCGGGGTGAGTTGGACGCAGTCCTACCCCATATAGTAGCTGCGTTTACTTTAGATCTATCGTTGCCGTTTTCAATAAGACCAGTCAAATACTCCCTTATTATAGAATCGTCACTTACCGACCAGCATTTCTCTAAGGAAAACAGTTCAAGCTCAAGATAATACGGTTTGCTATAGTTGGTGAGCCATTGAATAAAATCAGTTACGAGTTTTAACACGTGCAAGTGACTCTCTTCTAAGGACTCTCCATATTGGAACGCAAAGCTCGTGTAGCCGCATTTTCGTATAATGAGGCCCAACGTTTCTCTCAAATGTGAAGATATATGAGGTCCCGTTATAACACGGTCAACAACAGCTATGTGTTTGCGTTTCTTTTTTGGTGTAGTAGTAATAGTAGTGGTAGTAGTAGCTTCTCCTTCTCCTTCTCCTCCTTCAACAGACATGCTTTCATAGGTTTGTGGATGAAATTTCAAGGCTTCCAAAATAGGGACATCAATGGTGAGTACAGTCAAGTTTTGAAATAGCAGCATGAGTTCATCACCAGAGTATCCTGGATGCAACACAAATCGATCTTGATTGAGTGAGTGAAAGCTTTTCCTCCTTGGCAGTCTTATTGTCAATTTCCTCAACTTTGACGTTTTGGCAATTGCACTCAACAATGATATTGTATCTGAGTAGCCGATGGTAAAAGGACTATCCAAAATGAGGACCAATTCATTGAGTTTATTGCTTGTAGATTCCAAAAATGATGATATAATTTTTGCAATACCGGGTTCCACAGGAATTTCGCAATATTCAAGAAACAAATCCAACCGGTTCAAGGTGGGTAACGTTGTCAATAACATGGGGGTGGACATCAATGTCCTCGCGTGAACTGCCAAGTACTGTAGTTTCAGCAAGTTTGCGTGCTCCAAAATTGGTGTCTCTGTGCATTCGTCTAAAATCTTTAATGCTTCCAAGTTTGTAAACAACTTCAAGTCACCATTCTTCAAACTTGTGTTATCACACTCCAAATACCGTACAAAGTTACACATGCATAAATAGCTTTTGTAACGGCTCGGATAATCTATGAGGTCAGCTTGAGAATCATTGCCACAATTCTCTAGATTTCGCTTGATCAACTCCGAAATAAACACTTTTCGACATGTCTTCTTATCACTGAATTTTTCAAGCGATCGTGGATAACACATTATCGAATCAATTTGATTGCTCCTAACCAAACTGACATTTTGGAATAGAATATCACCAAGGGCCCTTCGTAAAAGCGTACAGGTCGAAGAGAGCGATACCAAACTCTTATAACACTTGCCAAATCTAACACTGTTGGGTATAAACAGGTATTTGGCAAATTCACTCTCCCGATTCAGCGCATCTTGACCAACTTGACCGTTTAAAAACCAGAATACCACTTTATTTATTATCTCTAGCGGCAAATCTTCGAACCGAATGCGATTCGAAACATCACCTTGGGAAACCAAGCGCATTAGCCACACCCCAGGCAAAAAAAAAATTCAACAACAACAATAACAACAACAACAACAACAAATTTGATCTCGATCGTTCAACAATGAACTTTTTTTGGTCATTCTCATTTCACATCACATCACGATAAGAATGCTGCATACATATATGCACACACACACATACAAATGAAATCAAAACTTCTTTTTTCTTTTCACACCCAATAACAGCCATGGTATAAAATGCAACATCGAGCCCTACCAAACAGATACTAGACTACAACAAGTAAAAGTGAATTACTTGAAAATCGGAGATGCCTCACAAAAATGAAAAAAAGAAATTACTAATATACACAAATATTAAAAGTTATACAAAAAGTTCTAAAAGCTTTAAACCTTGAAACCTCTTGATCTTCTTCTACCTCTAGCTCTTTCGAATTTTCTACCCTTGGATAAAATTCTTGGAGCTTTACCCTTGTGAGGACCGAAACCAAAGTGTCTAACGGCCTCTCTAGCATTTCTTGGTCCTCTAACAATCAAAGTGTTTTGACCTTTTGGAGCTCTCAAAGCCAATTGATCCAAAGTGATTGCTTCACCACCGTTTTTCAAAATTCTAGCTTTGGCACCTGCAGTGAATCTTAAAGCAGCAACAGTTGCTTTTGGGAATTCCAATAATCTGTTATCATCGGTAACAGTTCCAACAACAACAATGGTTTTCTCAGAGGAGCCCTTTTGTTTCAAAGCACGAGAAATTCTCGAGACTGAAACTGGAGGTCTGTTGATCTTGGACAAGAATAATGATTTCAAGATAACCTTGTTGAATGAAGCATCAGTACGACCTAAAAGAGAAAGTTAGTATTCCACACTCGTATCTGCTCAGAAGACGCACATAAACACAATGGAGTGTAAAGTACTCGCAGACAAATGAAAAACAGCTGCAACACTATCAACACTATCGAGCAGCACCATCGAGCAGCACCATCGAGCAGCACCATCGAGCAACACTATCGAGCGAAGCGAGATAGTGAAGCAACGCTAGCTTTCAACAACAGCTCTCGACACTATCTCACTTTGCTCAATAGTGAAGCAACGCTAGCTTTCAACAACAGCTCTCGACACTATCTCACTTTGCTCAATAGTGAAGCAACGCTAGCTTTCAACAACAGCTCTCGACACTATCTCACTTTGCTCAATAGTGAAGCAACGCTAGCTTTCAACAACAGCTCTCGACACTATCTCACTTTGCTCAATAGTGAAGCAACGCTAGCTTTCAACAACAGCTCTCGACACTATCTCACTTTGCTCAATAGTGAAGCGACGCCAGCTTTCAACAACAGCTCTCAACACTGGCTCTCGACACTATCTCGCTTTGCTCGATAGTGGAGCATTGACTAGCGACAACGCTGGTGTATTGATAACAAGTTGTAAAAGGAATAGGTGGTGCCACACTATCGAGCAAAGCAAGATAGTGTCACACTTTTGTACCACTTCATTCAATGACAGATCCTTGTTCCTTCTCCTCCAGAGCGTCCCTTTGTCTGTCAGTGATGCTTGACAATCGAGCATACACGGATCATGCCAGTGCTTCACTATCGAGCACATACGAGCTAGGCCGGTGCTGCTTGACAATCGAGCACACACGAGCCAGGTGAGTGCTGCTTGACAATCGAGCACACACGAGCCAGGTGAGTGCTGCTTGACAATCGAGCACACACGAGCCAGGTGAGTGCTATTTCACTATCTCGCTTCGCTCGATAATGGTGAGTGCTATTTCACTATCTCGCTTCGCTCGATAGTGGTGAGTGCTATTTCACTATCTCGCTTCGCTCGATAGTGGTGAGTGCTATTTCACTATCTCGCTTCGCTCGATAGTGGTGAGTGCTATTTCACTATCTCGCTTCGCTCGATAGTGGTGAGTGCTATTTCACTATCTCGCTTCGCTCGATAGTGGTGAGTGCTATTTCACTATCTCGCTTCGCTCGATAGTGAAATAGTGTTGATAGTATCGGTTGTGTGGACTATATGCATTTTTCGTCTTTGCAATGACATCTTCTGATTGGAAAAAAAGGATACTAAAGTTCTAAAGGTTTACATACGAGCCAAGAAGGAGTATAATTTCACTAATAATTTCAAGTAGACATTGTCTGACTTTGGTGCATCCCTGCGACCTGATCTGATATGCTGCTTTGTAGTATGATCTTTACCCATCTTTGCTAATCTGGTTTCAATTAGTACTATAAATGAGAAAAGTCTCTTTCTAATTAACCTTGTATACTAAATATATAACAAGTGAAAAAAAAAAAAAATTGTCCTCTTTGAGGAACTCAGTGAAAAATTTACTCCATTGGCGATGTAAGCGAGAAACACACACTTTTTTCAATCTCATTAGGGTTTAGCCCTTGAATAGTGAAAAATTTCAATTTCTTTACCGATGCCATACGCTAACGCTAGAGGGGAAAAAAAAGGTATGGGTGAATTAATAGTGAAATTTGTAGTATACCTGTTTCTTTACCAATAACAGAAAGCAGAAAACACACACGAACATGCCAGGTGTATCAGTAAGGTATGTGCTTTGATAGATATGCTCTCTCTTTGATAGAGGTGCTCTCTCTTTGATAGAGGTGCTCTCTCTTTGATAGAGGTGCTCTCTCTTTGATAGAGGTGCTCTCTCTTTGATAGAGGTGCTCTCTCTTTGATAGAGGTGCTCTCTCTTTGATAGAGATGCTCTCTCTTTGCTTTGAGGTGCTCTCTCTTTGCTTCAATAAAGGTGCTTTCTTTTTGCTTTCGTTGGAAAAGGTTAGAATCTGTCGTGGTGGATAGGAAAACAAAGAGGTGCTCAAATCATATCTCGATTGGGAGTTCAGATGTGCCAAATTTGGTGTCCAGATGTGCCTAATAGGGTCCAGATGTGTCAAATATGGTGTCCAGATGTGCCTAATAGGGTCCAGATGTGCTCTAATAGGGTTCAGATATGCCTAGGGTTCAGATGTGCTCTAATGTCCAAATAGAATGGCTATGTTTGAATGTTTGTTTGTTTTTTCCTTGACCCACGGGATGGATTTCCAATCGTACTTGAAAGCTTCAATACCGTAGCATGAAATAATACTAACAGTTTTTTTTTGTTTTTTTTTAAAGAGACGTTCCAGCTCAAGATTTCATAAACGCTTATGCCAAGTTCTTGCAAAGACAAGGTAAATTAGAAGTCCCAGGTTACGTGGACATTGTCAAGACCTCAGCCGGTAACGAATTACCTCCACAAGAAGCTGAAACTTGGTTCTACAAAAGAGCTGCTTCTATTGCCAGACACATTTACTTGAGAAAACAAGTTGGTGTTGGTGCTTTGAACAAATTGTACGGTGGTGCTAAGAACAGAGGCTTCAGACCTCACAAGCATGTTGATGCTTCTGGTTCAATTAACAGAAAATGTGTTCAAAGCTTACAAAAAATTGGTGTTTTGGAAATCTCACCAAAGGGTGGTAGAAGAATTTCTGAAAACGGTCAAAGAGATTTGGACCGTATCGCTGCTCAAACCTTAGAAGACGACGAATAAATGAAATGAATTGAAATAAATAAATAAATAAATAAAGTACTACTAAAACGCAGCAAATGGTTGGGTGCACTCGTTAGCTTGTATACTAGTTGTTTTTTTGTTTTTGTTCTTAAGTTTTCGAAAAAATTGTTATATTATTGTCTATTAAACATCATCATCTTCTAAAGGAATTTCTAGTAAATCGGCAATTTTTGTAGTCACGCCATTGGCCAATACATCGTTCCTAGCTTTCCCTAATTCTGGTTTCAATCCTAGCCAAGAGAGTGGAATTATTTCAGGCAAGGTTTCTATCCACTGAGTATAAACCTCCAAAGAAATACCCTCAGGCAAGTGTAATATCTCTTTTGATGCTTCAGTTAGCTCATTTTGTATGATATTAAAGTCCGATTCAAGCGACGACGCATCAAACAACCTGTTTACAAGATTCCGAATCTTTTGCTTGTCCTTTTCATTGTCAAATTTACCACCATATATTATATCACCTATTAGGAATCTCAACACAAGCCAAGGTATCTGATCAACATCGTTCTTAGTTGAAGCTAGAATTTTGTGGATTTGGGAGATACCACACATAAAATCAGCTTCACTGATATCGTAACTTTTTTCAAAAGTGAATGGAGTGTACCGTAGTGTCTCCAAAACCTGCTTATGAAACCAGGTGAACAATAGGAATATGTGCAAATGAATTGCATTATGTAAAAATGTAGAAGGAATCGATAGGAACGTCTCCAATAATGCTCCACGAAAGGAACTATCGTTTTCAAAATGGAGAACCTTGCTATGATTTATCAAGTTATCCAGAATTCTTGATCTGGTATTACAGGTTAAGAATACTTTTGAGTCAGGATGCAATTGCAACTTGTCGATGGTAGCATCAAGCTGGGCGAGCCACAAAGGAGCCATTTGAACGTTCTGAAGAATAACCCATTTTGCACTCTGACCAGCGGACGTCAACTCATTATTTACCAAGGCAGAGCTCTCGGTAGATCCCATTGAAATTACCAGACAGCTTATATTTTCAGCTTCGGCATAAGTCGTAAATTTGAAGGTAGCATCAAAGTCGTCGCAGGTTGTAACAATGAAAACACTAGAAGTAGTATGCTTCTCTTCCTTGACCCAATGCAGAAGCTGATGGTATCTCGAACTGTACGTCACAGCAAAGGCTCTCGTTTCTGAAGTTAGCTTATCAAAAAACCCTAACAAATCCGGATTCTTCTTCTGTAAAATGTTTATCAATGGAAACAAAATCTTGGAAAGCTCCTCATCTTGGTCTTGACCAAAAGATAAAGGCAACTTTATACTATCAATATTCAAAGTCGATGGCTGGTGATATACACATGAAAGAAGGCTTTTGATTGCACTGTTGTACAAAGCTCCAAATCTCTCCGAATGTGCTGTTATCATGATGAGTGCACCAAATACAATCTTGTCCTCATATCGCAATGATACTGAAAATACATCATACAATTCTTGACAAAATTTAGACAAGATTCCAATAATAGCATCTGAAGAAACCCCCTTTATAACTTTGGAAAAAACTGATGAAAATAGAGAAACAGAAAGACCATAAAACTTGGACACCTTTTTGAGTTGCATTGCCTTTGCAAAAATTGCGGTACATTGTTTAGCTGATTCGGCAAACTGTTCTCTGGTTTTTTCGACTTTCGATATGATCTCATCCGCACTACTAAGCTTTCTGTTTAATTCTTGTGATTCAACGTTCAACATTTCAAGTGACTTGAGAAGGTCATCGTTTTCTAAAATACCTTGCGATGTCAGGGACAAACATTCCAAAAGTTTCTTTTCCAACTCTTGCAAACGCAACCTGTTTTCTCCATTTGCCAAAATTAAATCCGATCTTTGCTTTTGCAACTTTGGATTCGACTCTTGCAATGCTAGATCGAGTGCTATATTTTCCAAACTACTCACTGTGATTGAAAAATTGACCACGCTCGTTCGGGAAAGTACAAAATCCAGCAAGTTTAATTGAGCTTGCTTTGTGCACATGATTAGCTTGAACTTTGAGTTAAAATCTGTAAAATGGTCACCTAATCGAACAGTTAACCTTCCACCAGTCTTTTGAACCTCACTTCTCAAAACATCATCAATGATGGGGTCGTAATTTTCGCAGTCTTCAATTATGAACAAGCCTCCAAAACGCATAGAATTCTCCAAGCTATCGATAAAACCCTCACTCAAGAAACTTGTCACGGTTATCATTTTCTCAGAACATGTTTTTGCGATAATATCTGCCATTGTGCCGGTGGGATCTATTAAAATTGGGATTTTAGCCCATTGCATCAATGCAACATTGTTCTTACTTAAATCATCATCTATCAAGCCGTTTGATACATAATTCTTTATTTCCATTGGTTCCATTAGATAGTGTGAGATAGCAAAGTTTTCATCAAATGAAATTGCCGATTGCTTAATCTGCTCTTTCCAAAAGCTTTGTATTTTTGACCGACCTTTCTCATCAAATGAACCAGCATATGTTACAAATGCAGCAGCGTATAATGCACTTCCAACTACTTCATCATTTTGTTTATCGAAGCATTCTATCGAAGCCTTCCAACGAGCTTTCTCGTTCGCAAGACTCTGGATTAACAGAGTACTCCTATTGACCCGTCGCTCTACTTCTACTGATTCCATCTTTATTTTTTCAGTTTCTCTGATCAATTCACTGTATTCAATTTTGTAATCCTCAATCTTTTCTTCTAATTCCTTTATCATTTGGTCAATGGCAATTAATTGAGCTTTAGTTTTAAGAGATTTCTGCTCCAAAAGCCGAACTTCGTCACGTAAAGGACCGACTTGCTTCAAGATTTTGGAGTATTCCAACTGAGCGCGCACCCACTCAAGTAGTGGTCCACATGCTTTACTGGCCCTATGAACAATCTCGTAGGTGAAATCATCTCTCGCCAAATACACTGCTTCCATATATTCCCGAAGTTCAGAAGACAATTGAACCTCACAGTCGAAGGTGACTATATTGGAGATAAAATCATCACTTCTAACTGCCAATTGTACATCCTTCCAGCCGGAAACTTGGTAACCTAACAATATACATACAGACTCCATTGTAACCTTGACAGCTTTTGGAGGATTCGACATACTTCTTATTTCTGTAAGATGTTGTTTCTTGATATTCTGAACGCCTCGTTGGGCTTCTATAACAGCAGGTTCGGCGTATTGTAGATCCCTCAACACCTTCTCTTTTCTCTGATTAATCTCCCTTTCTTGTTTTTCAAGTTCAACCTGCATTTCCACTGAAAATTCTTGTTTTCGCTCTGCCTCGTTTTGATCTACTAGCATTTTGTTTAGTGTAGCCCTGGCCTCTTGATTCTTATTCCGTAAAAGTATCTCTTTGTTTTTGAGGTCCGACTTCATCCTATCTACCTGAATAACGGTTTCTTTCAACTTGTCGTATCCAAGAATAAGGTGCCTTTGCCGTTCATCTACTTCTACTTGCTTTTGAAAACACAACTGGGAAAAAGTACGCAAAAATGTTAAAAACTGTGCTGGGAAAACCTGTCGAAGTCCAACAACATGCTCGTCAAGAGCTACGCCTTTATGAATGCGTACCATAGTTCTAGCTATTGTAGATGCCAATCCTACACCTGCATCTCTATATTCCTTACTTGTATCTTTATAACCTTGATTAACAATTGGAATCGAGTTCAATTCTGTCATGGCAATTTGATGTAAACAATCATTTGTCCAATCACCCATCCAATTCAAAACACAACGATTGAACAACGCTGGCGACGATATCACTTTCTGACTTACGCCCCGCGTGGAGTCGTTCATTGTGAATATAACGTGCAAATTACGAGATAACTGCTCCGTAAACCATCTGTACAATTCAACGTCTGTATCGAGTAACAATCCTTGCAATTGCGACTTTTCGAGGCACTTGTCCATGAGGCTCACATGGTTGTCTCCTTCAAATAAGCCTGGCACTTCCGCGTTTGCTAATAAAGTATTCATTCGTTCAATAAAACTTGCTTCGATAATGCTTGACTCATCAATCAAAAGACATATTTTCTCACCCTCTAAACAGCGCAATAATAAATTCCTCAAAAATTCATCAAAATCATCCAAAGTGTAATTACGCCTAACCATCAATTGTTCAGTTTTCAACCCATTAATCCAAGCCACAAACTTAGAAAGTGTCGTTTTCCCACTAGTACTAGGGCCAATCAAAATCATGTGACCTTGTGGTTGTTTGAGTACTCTGTCTATTCTTAAAATATGGTCCAACATCTCCGAGTGTAAGACTAGTTTGGCACCGGTATCCTCCTCCATGTAAACCCTTAGTCTCTCGTGAACAAACATCTTTAATTCTTTTTCATTAACAGATTGGTATCCTAAAGACATCCAGTCACTGTAAAGTACAGGCAAACGGAAACAAGTATGGAAATCGACGTTTGGAAAGCAATTTTTGGCGACATTATGAAACAATTGTATAGTCCAAGTTCTCTCTTCTTCACAACACAACCTGTCAAAAAACAACCTCAATCCTTCATGAAACCATAGACGCAATAGGTCAGGTAAATCATTGTAAGCGCATTGTTTAAGCGCCTCTAGTAACCCTCGACTCCATCTTGTTAATTCACGAGGAGAGTAAACATAATGAGACTGAGATAATGGGGTGAATTTCTTTTTCGATTGCTCATACACATCCACGGATGCTCGTGTGATATCAACCGAGTAAGCTTTCAAGTTAGGACATAGTTTCAACACTGCATCATTGAATGTTTGATAAATTCGAACCAAGGAGTTTTGCTCAGGATAATCAACCATAATCAAGCATACTCTTCGCAAGAAGTTATTGCTCAATTCGTATCTACCTGAATCGGTAGGTGGATTACAAGCTGCAACAAACTGAATGTTTTGTAGTGAGACCCATTGCATATCTTTTGTTTGCCAAAAGCCATTGTATTCGATTAATTGTTTGAGTAATGCTATCACTGTTTGAGTTCCAAACCTATCTGTTTTGGGAAGATTCACCTCATCACAAAATACAACTACCCATTTCCCATTGACTCTAGGACAAAGCAGCATTTTCCCATTTATTCTTTTGTAAACACAAAAGTTTTCCAACGATGTAATTATGGATGGCACCGTACTTTCTTTTGAAAAATTGAGACAAAGGAGATCCAAATCTGGTGTGCTACCTAGAGCCTTCAAAAGCGTCATTGTTTTTCCCGAACCAGGCGGGCCACACAACAACAAAGGTTTGTGGGCGTCTAGTATTGAATACATGAGATACTCATGTTTTATTGTATCTACTGTTGGAATGATAAGGTTTGGGTCGGAAATTTGGTGCGTCTCCAAGTCTACTACATCTCCAACCTTGGATTCTAGGCTTATCCAGTCACCCTCTGGAAGCCCAATTTCAAAGTCCAATATACTAGCCTTTGGAAAATCTACAAACAAAAGCGCGTTACGTTCCCTTAAAAACTTTTCAAACATTAACCTATCTTTGGTGGGACTATCTCCAGTAAATGCCCATATCAATGAACTAGCCACTGCTTTTCCAATGTAACTCCTCACGTCAACTAAAGATAGGGTTGTTTCTGATAAGTTGAAAAGTTTTTTGAGGTGAGTTTTGAAAAAGGCTTTAAACGACTCAATAGATCTTTGAAACGAATATTTCATAATGTGGCTTGCTTTTTGTGACATTTGGTGCGAGTCTTCCAATAGTGGTAGGGTTATTATATCCTGAATCTGATGCTCAATGTTACCATAACTTGTTGGAGGCATATGACGATGATGACGATCATAATAATGCTCCATATTGTCATTATTATTCGTTGTATTGATGTAGACTTTGATATCGTGAATGAGCTTGAAATAAAGCGAATGAGGTTTTACCAATTGTTCATCAAACCACACCATACCACACCTACTTATAGTCGCAAGGGTTGCATTATTCAAATTAGTAGTCTCAAAAACAATTCTCACATTAGAAGGCAAAACTAGACGTTCCCCAGTAGGCAAAGTCAAAATCCGATTGTCATCTAATACACTGTTTAGATTCTCAGCCCAAACGGGGTCAATTTCCCCCTCAAACACAATCCATATTCGTTTCTGCAACTCACCTCGCGAGTTTTCATCAATCTTTCTCAATATACTGGTAAAAAGACCATCAGTCCATAGTTTTGTGAGTTTGTCATATTTACCGTATAATTGGTCCTTCGACATAACCTTGGGGCTAATAACAACTGAGTAGTGATCTACATTTTCAACTTGTTTCAAAGCACTTAAAACCATTTCAAGCACTGTTGTTTTACCTGTTCCAGATTCGCCTACCAACATAATACCGTGGTGGGCACTCTGAACTTTTGCTAATTGCATTGCCTTATCAAATAATTCAGATCCTCTTGCAAATCCATTATCTTCACAATACATTTTCAATACGTTCTTCAATTCTACTTCATCTCCTTGGCTAGAACCAATATTAGGAAAATGCTCTATTTTTACCTGCTCGTATGCCCTTCTATCCAGAGTTGTTAGCCTAGGGGAGACTAAATCGTCCATACACTGCAAGATAATTTGAAATTCATTCCCTCCATCATCATGCTTTTCATGGAGGCGTGTGTCGTGAATGACTTGACCACATCTATTGATCACACTTTTTATAGCCCTCAAGCCAAAATCATAATGCTTTTGATTTGATGTTTTCTTTTCTAGTGCTTCAAACACATTTTTTATAATCTTGGACAACTCCTTAGAGTGTTTGAAAGTCCGAGATGTAAGTAAAACCTCTATAATATTCTCAATATCTGGTTTTGTCATAGCAAAACTTCTGAATAGCTTTTTCAAGTTCTCAGGTAACTCGGTTCTGGCAGTGTACCCTGGATTCATTGTGATGAATAAACCAGTCTCAAAGTTCAATGATGTTTCCCTATCTGACAAATGTATCAACTTATTTCTATTCTTCAATCCTTCTTCAATGGTTCCGATTAAAGAAGAAACCGCACTCAATGTATAGTCCTCCAAACGGTTGAACTCATCAAAACATCCCCATGCTCCAATTCGACACAAACCAAGGAGTAAGCGGCTAATAGACCGAAAATCAAATCTTTCATCACAACAAAAAACAATAACCATTTTTCCTAAATTTTGCCCTAAAGCCTTGATAGACTCTGTTTTACCAGTACCAGCAGGTCCAAATGGGGACCCTCCTTGCTTGTTTGACAATGCTTGCGTCATAACTATAAAACAATCATCAATCAAGGGAGTGTAAGCTAGTTTATCAGGATTTCCCAAGTATTCGTACCCGTAGTAGTGCTCGCTGTTCACTTGTTTCACCAATAAACGACGTAAGGAGCTAAGTTCCAGTGGGTCATGATAAAATCTTTGCTGCAAGTACCATTTTTGGCGCCTCTCCAAGCTAGAAGGTGCTGACTGAATTGTATCTGCAATGTTTCTTTGATGCAAAATCTCAATAATCAAGTTTCGAATCTTTTTTTGTTCCAATACTGAATTGCTAACACGCAATAACTCTACAAGAGTTTTAATCATTGATTCGCACAATTGACGGATATTATTAACAACATCGATCTCGTTGGCGGACTCTAGTGCATCCTCATACAAGCTAGTAAAAGTGACTTGTGTCAAAATGTTGAGAACTTGGCCTGGAAGACGTACTATCACGTCGAGCACTTGCGTTGGATCATTGTCTGTGATGAGTGGTTTCCAACTGGTAATATTTGAATCCACATGGTGAGCTAATGTCAATTGTATATCCATTTCCAATTTTGTTAACCATTCATGTAGCAACGGATACTTATTTAATGGAATGGGATTGATGAGGTTCAATACCTCACCTTCGCTACTCTGTACATTTATGAGCGAGTTACTTGCCAGGTCAATCTCGACTTTTTCAACACCAGCAAACATTTTTTTTAAATGTTTGTTAACGCCTGAAAACTCTTTAGAAGCTCCAATCATCTCCAATAAATCATCATTGCCGAGAAAGAAAAATCTGGGAAACAAATCCCTTTGTCTTTCTAAATAGTCAGCCAAAGATTTCAGGATTTTCGTTAAAGTTTCTAAATGTTTCGTAAGTGTTGAATGGATATCCTGTATCAAAATTATGTCAATAACCTGGTCATACCTGTAAATTCGCTTCAACAATGACAATAATTCAAATGTCAAGTTACTGAACCTCGAATGCTCTGTGGGTAGAATGATTTTTATGTCGCTGTTTTCATTTCCAAAAACTCCTTCCAATTCAACCCACTCACGTTGAACGTCGATCCAAACATTTAATATCGAGTATAACGAACTCAATTTGTTCTCAAGCTCCCATGTCTCTTTTTCAAACGAAGAATAGTATGGAGACTTTCTAATTGCACCAATTGTATTAAGATCCACTTCGCACTTATCAAGTAGACTTTCCCAATTTTTTACCAAACGACACTTGTTTTCGAAATTGAAAAGTTCCAATGCAGTTTGTCTCCAAGTCTCTTGAATATCTTTCAAGCACTCTTCAATTGTCCTTTCGTCCCGTGCTTGTTCAAGAATTTTATCAACAATCGCCGAATGCAAATTCAAGTTTAAATCCCAAACATCTCCCACGCGCAAGTCAGCAAACAACTTTGAAGAGCCTAATTGTGCAAGTAATTTTCTCCAATGGCGCGGTTTCATTGCATCGGAACTCAATTCTGCTACTTTGGCCTGGGATTTTAAACAGGACTTGGCTTGAAGTTGAATCTCGTTAACGGCTGCATATTGTCTAATATTTGCTGGTAGTTCTCTCGCTGATTTTACGAGGTCGCCAAGTCTCTTCCCCAAGTGGCGTGTGTCTACAGCACTCCAAGTGATTGACTTCATAGCTTCTAATTCTTCCCAAAGCACATTCACAGATGACCATACATGCTTCAAGTTTTCAATATCTGACATAAATGAAGTCGGTTTCCTTATGGTACTCACAAGTGAGTTGGAGGATTGAAGTTGCAGTGCCAAATAGCTCAACGTGTTTAAATAAGTATTCAATCTGGAGTATTGTGCTTGATATGCGTTGATGCTCTCGATTGCTGTAGCTGGTGCCAAATGACCTGAAGTTGGTTTATTTTCTTCCCAGTTCTTTTGCAAAGCTTCGATCGACAAAACAGTCTTTTCTGCTTCGACTTTCAATTTTGATCTTATAAATTCATTATTTTCCTTAATTAGCAAATCTTTCTTATCAAGAAGTGTTGTAACCATTGATAAATAGTTCTCCAAATTCTCCGTGTAAAGCCAATCGCTTGAAAATTTGAAAAATCTCTGTTTCTTCAAAAACGTCTCAATCGACTTGTATTCAGAAAGTAGAGCCACCCACTCAGTAAGCTTGCTTCGCAGAACAAAAACTTCTTCCACATTTGCCATGATTTTTGGTGTAGCAGCATCAAATCGCAACGGAGATTGCAAGGTCGTTTTCAGCTTCATCAATTCTGTATTTGTTAAGCTTATTTGCTCCTGTAGCCTGCTTGTGAAATATTGAAGTAAAGTCTTTTTAAGTAACTCGAATGATGTAGCAAACTTGTTCAAGATTGGTTTGAACGTAATTGTAAATAGTTGACCAAATTTCTTACACGAATCTTCTTCATCGAAAAGTGAACCATATAAAAAGACATCCTTCACAGTCCGAAACCATTCAAAAACGCTTTCGTGTGGATTCAACAATGCTTTTATATCCATAGTGTCTTGAAAATTGATCTCACACAACCTTTCTAAAATTTTCCATTGGTCAAGATATGCATTTCCTTCTTGATACAACATTTCAATTTTGGAAAACACAACATTAAGCATCTCATTAGCGTGCGGTGGGTAATCTAACATCAGCACCACGTCGTAATTACTCAGTGAGTGTGAATTAATGCTCATCATCTTGAGCACCAGTACAATCTCAATCATTTCTTTTACAATATTGAAAACAAAGCATTTTCCTTCGACTAATGTTGGTGTTATGACTAATGTACCTTCTTGAATACTTAAATGATGTTCAAATGGTGGGAAGTTCTTGACATATTTGTCAAACTCACTAACAATTATACTCTCTCCAGGTGAAACTGAGGAGAGAAAAAGTAGCAATTGATCATTCAACCGATTCCTAAGTATCATAGCAATTTTTTCATTGGACACTTTGACCAATTTCTCTGTTAACTCTTCCTCTTCAAACGTCGTCTCTTGGAGTTTTTGTTGAATCTTGCCCAAAATTATTTCCAAATCATGATTCTTGAAATATGCAGTTTTCAATTCATGGAGACAGTGATCTAAAAGATTCATAAAATTGTCTATTTTACAATTTTGCAAATAAAGGTGATCTAGAAGTATTTGGATTTCACCAAAGTTTTTAAATGATTTGATTTCCACAAGACTTTCACTGTTAATTAACAATTGTTCACTCAGTTTTAATAAGCTAGCAGCTTGAGATAATTGAATCCATTTGACCTTTGTGGCTTTATTGATGAGAGCTATGAGTTTTTTAAGATGTGCTTTCGAAAAAAGTAGCTTAATTTCGCCTTTAGGACCACTGAATGTGCTCCTGAACAAAGTGTTTATTTCTTGGATTTGATCATCTATTGCAGCTGCTATCGGTAATAGTTGATTTAATTTGGATGACTCGAGCACAATACTAGACGGCGCTGTGAATCCTAGAGATTTCAAGGAACTGAGGTATTGAAATGTTTCAAGTTTTGCTATATTCACATTTAAGCTGAGAATCATATCTCCCCCTTCTTCTTTAGTAATGTCGATCACAGTACCCATATTTTGGATCTTGTAGCTTGTTGTAGCCAACTCCTCGGCAACCCATCTGTGAAAGGCTACATTCGGATTCAACGTAGACAACATGTTTTTACTCATGGCATCTATCTTTAATCCTATAGAATAGTTTTTCCATTCTGTTCCTAGAACCATTTCTAAACCTTTCCGATAAAACTCTACTTTAGAACTCAAGCTTAAACATAAAAATATTGCCAGCATTCCATTGTTGTATTTTTCTACTCTTGAGTGATTTGCCTCTTCTTTAATTATTTGCAATTCACTCATTGCCCTTTCAAGGATAGCCATTTTTTGAGTATCATTAATTGGTATAGATAGAGCACTCAAGGACTCGTCATAACTACTAAATCGTCGGAATACTTGTAAATAATCTGTAAAATATTCGGCTTTGTTTAAATACTCATTAACCTTTGACGTCCAGTTTGCATAAATAGTATTGAAAATAGTCATATATGCTCGTTCGCATACTGTCCATATCATAGTATCCTCATGAGATGGGCTTATTGGGTTTGCAGATAGCACATTTGTATTATAGGCCTCAATAAGCTTGGCAGCATTATCCGATGCCTCCTCCCCTGAGAATGTGATTTCAATATTTTTTAGTAGATCCTGATGGTTTTTTCGAAACTTTGTTAAACTAGCTAGTTTGTTACGAAGTGAGTCCAAATTACTTTGATTTATAGTCGTAGTAGTAGTTTTATGCTTGTCCTTTGTTTTTCGCGATAATTCACGAAGTATATTGGACATGAATTTTAGGTTAGCCTCTATATTATTGAGAATCTCGTGGGATTTATCTATGCAATGTAATAATTCTTGAAATGGAAGAGACATTAAGTTCTCTTTGGACATCAATTCTTGCAACTTGTATACAACCTCCTTCAATAAAACCTCTACTGTTCTTCTGGCTCTGTCCAAGGGTAACAATCCCAATTTTTGTTTCAAGTGTGAAAACAAATGGCTAACCAGGCGCTGAAAATTTTCAAATCCAGGGTCATTGTTAATGCCTAGCATCTCGTTAATTGGTAAGTCACGTAAAAATGCATTGAGTTGTTGAGTTTTCTTTGTCATTTCATTAATACCAGTATCGTTTTCGAAGCTTAGTGTTACGTGAAATCTCCTCGCTCGGCTGAGTACCTCCATACTGGTTTGTATTTCCGAGGATGTAATCTGCTTATTAAGTAGCAGTAGTGCCGATTCCATTTGGCCCCAAAACCGTACTTCGTCAGCCATCGACTCGCCGTCCGTTGGATCGTGTGAAAGATGGGTGACTGCTTGTATTTGCTTGACCCAATTGTTTGTAGTATTTGTGAGTTCATTTAAAAAAGAAGTGTCTTCCAACACTTGGTCAATAGAAGTTTTTTGAGCAAGGATATCTTTAATTTTAGATGGCGTTGTGAGTAACAAATCTGAAACAGTAATCTCGGCGTTGGCCTGTTGCAAGCATGAGCTCAACTCATTAAATTTCTTCCTTGTCGTCAAATTGCTCGAGCTTTCGTCTGAAACAATATCATAGTATGGCAATAATCCAAAATTAATCGCTACTCTCAAGGTTTCACTATTGATATGAAGAGGCAAATTAATGATGTTCAACTGGGTCAAAAACGGGATATCGGCACTAATCTGGGCAGGTTTGATGATCATCAACACATGATCAACATTGGACAGCAATGCCTTCACAACTTTGGGGTCCTCACATATAACAATACCCTCATCATCTCTCTTCTTTGCGCAAAAAATCGTATCGGCATTGGGTGTAGCAAGAAACTTTTGTACCAAAAACTCATTTTCCTCAATTGTTGCCGGTCCTCCAAATAAGGTGGTGGCAAGCTGTGAGAGGTATGTTTTGAAACCCTCATAATCTATACCTACTCCTACTCCTACTCCTCTCTCTTCCAGCAGCAAAACCATCTCTCTCTAGTCTTGAATAGTCCACCCCAATCGTATTTTGTTAGCGATGCTTTTTGATTCATGTTTTGTTTTGAAACCTCGATTTGGTAGCATCGTATTCAACAACGACCTGCCGTTATATATTCAAAGAAATCTGTTGAAGGAGAAGAAAAGTGGGGGCGAGGGGGGAGGAGGAGAGTGGAAATCGACTTTAAGAAGCAGCAGGCTGCTTCTTGACTCAAAACATGCAAGCTATTTTCTTTTATTAAACTGTCTCTTGTGAAAACCAGTGGTCAACACACGAGTTGGATTTTGCAATCGGTAGCGTTGAATAAAGAAAGTTACAAGTTAAAGAAGTGGACCCCAATTACTCAACTGAGTATCAGCTATTCAACAAGAATGATGCAGTGCTCTACTATCGAGCAGAGAGAGATAAAGTCGGTGACAGCTAGTGTGCTCCACTATCTTGTTCTGCTCAATAGGGTGTTGGTGACAGCTAGTGTGCTCCACTATCGAGCAGAGAGAGATGAAGTCGGCGACAGCTAGTGTGCTCTACTATCTTGTTCTGCTCAATAGTGTTGATGGTGTCGGTGACAGCTAGTGTGCTCCACTATCTCGCTCTGCTCAATAGTGTCGATCGTATCTGCAAAGAAGAGTGAAAATTTTGTACCAAATCTTGTTTTGCTTCTCTTGATGAAAACGCCATTCCTGATAAAAGTATAACAAGATTGAAAAGAATGATAATTTTTGGCTAGATGGCTAGATACCCCACTCAGCGTTAATAAAACTGGAGGGATATAACAAGATATAGACAATGCTATTTGGCCACTTTCATATCTAAGGTTTGTCAAAGCCAAATAGTTTTAAATTAGCTTGGAAAGTATCATAGACAATAAATGGCACAATTGTGAAATGAAATTACTACTATTTGTAGATAAATTCTTTCTTGATACACACTATCAAGCAGAGCGAGATAATGTTGTAACAAGCTACCAAGGGTGAGGAAATGAATTACTACTAACTTCTTGATACACACTAACACTATCGAGCAGAGCGAGATAGTGTTGTAACAAGCCACTAAGGGTGTGGAAATGAATTACTACTATTTGTAGATAAATTCTTGATACAAGGAGAGGCATTGAATAATCATTGAATGATCTATGGGGAGAATAAATTAGTTTCCGGGGAGGGGGGAACTAATTTATTCAGTTAGACCACATACGCTGCACCTGTCTAGTAAAGACATCTCGTAAAATTGATAAACCTATATTTATCCTATCCTAAAAGACAAGGTGGTGGGGAAGAGAGGAGAAGTTTTTGTGCTAGACACGTAAGCACCTACTGAACATCTCCCAAGCCGTTTCATCTATATGCAACAATAGGTCGATTGTCTGGGAGATTAGAAGGAAAGAGATGATGATGTTATATAAAAGCTTTTTTATGGCTCAATTGTTTTTTCTTAGTCTTGCAAATTAAACCTTAAAATAATTAGTCAAGGTTGAAAATGTACAACTAAAATAGCCTAAACACTATGGAACCGACACTATCGAGCAGAGCGAGATGGTATCGGTGGCGGCTAGTGTGTAGCACTATCGAGTAGAGTGAGATAGTGTCACTAGTCAGTGCTGGTCTACTATCGAGCGAAGCGAGATAGTGTCGGTAGTGGAACAGTAATAACTAGTTACGACACTATCGACACTAATCAGTGCTGCACTATCTCGCTTCGCTCGATAGTTTGGTCAACAAGACTTGTCCAAAAAATTTATATCAAAAATTGCACGAAATTTTGTACTCGTATATTAACAAACAGTTGGTACAATATGTCAATCAGCAGACAAAATAATAGCTGCATGAAGAAACTAGCGACACTATCTCGCTTCGCTCGATAGTGGAGCAGCACTGAGTAGTGACGCTATCGACGCTATCGACGCTATCGAGCAGAGCGAGGTAGTGTCGTAACTAGTTATTGCTGTTCCACTATCGACACTATCTCACTCTACTCGATAGTGCTACACACTAGCTGCCACCGACACTATCGAGCAGAGCGAGATAGTGTCGACTGGTTACTAACTCATCTATCTTATTATTGTAATATCCCGTGATATCATACAAAAATAAAAGATCATATGTTATTATTTTAAACAAGAGTAAGGGGATAAAAGTTGTTGTTTTTTCCTCTAGAATGTGAACAATGTGTCCACATTTTGGCTTCTAAAATCATTGAGTTGCTACAATAATATGAGGATTCTTTAGTTTTCTTTTATCTTTCGGTAATTTAAAGTTGAAGACAAGAAAAGTTTAAAACGAAGCGATTACTCGATTCTTTGACAAAAGCTATAACTATAACTTTATTACTATAACTCTGTAACTCTGTAACTCTAAAACTCTAAAACTCTTGTGACCGAGATTGAATATTTGTCGAGATATAGATTTATCAACTAAGGCCCATTAACTTTTTACAAGCAAGGCTACTTGTTTTCAAAAAGTTGGCTCCTCGTTTTCAAAAAGTTGGCTCCTCGTTTTCAACTTTTACAAGGCTACTTACTTTCAACTTTTACAAGGCTACTTACTTTCAACTTTTTATACTCTACACAAAGCAAAGTGAAGTAGAAACGCCACGATAAAATAAAATTATTCGGTTTCCAATTAGAACAAAAATAAGGGTTTGAACTGTGGGACGAAGAAGGGGGAGGGGGAGAGGGAAAGAGCAGCAATTTGCAGGATTCTTTTTCTTTTTCTTTTTCTTTTTTTTTGGGCCATTATTCCTTATTTTAACACCCTTAACAATGACAAGAGAGGAAACAACCCACAAGTTGATGTCTTTAAGCGCCCAATACCCTTTTTAATAGTTGAGCAAATTCCTATCATATTGAAGCCCAGAATCAGATTTATTTTTGCGATTTTGTGGAATGCCGTAAGAAACGGCACTGAGGAGTTTATGGCTCCTTTTTTTTTTTTTTTTTTTTTATTTATTTACAACATCATGTTGAAATTTGTTTCAAAGTAACTTTGATCAGGAGAATTAAAGAACAATTTTTATAGCATGTTAATTTTTACATCACTTTAGAACTAAAATATTTATACATACTAAAAAAATATAACAATGATTATTATTAAAGAGTATAATTCAAATCTAATTCTTTGCATAGTATGCAGTATGGCTTAAATAATACATCAGATTAAGCACGAAATAAAAAGGTGCAAAAAGGCAATATGTTTTATTTCTAAAAAAATATTACGATTTACAAGAATTGCGCATCCCTTTTTGGTCAAAAGTTGCTTTACCCATATATAAAAAGTGTACGCGATGAAACAAAATGAATGATGATTTTACAACAAGGGAGACAAAAAAACTAACTTGCATCTGGTTTAGCTTCAATGCTACACCTTATTTCAACTGATATGTTCTAGGAACTAGAACTATGCAAGTGCTTTTGTCCTTTTTGCTCTTTATTTTAATAGTTTTAATTTTCGAAAAATTGGCAATCTTACAATTTTGTAAGTAGTGTTTTTGCCAAACAAATTTCATTTACAATTTTTTTTCAATCTGTGACAAAGCGAAATAATTCGGCTACTGTTTTATCCCTCGCTTGTTTTTCTGTTTTTTTTTTTTTTTTTTTTTTTTTTTTTTTTTTTTTTTTTTTTTTTTTTTTTTTCTCGTTGTCTTAACTGTTAGTGTAATCTCACCTATAATAACTCATACACCAAAAGTGGTCGTTTTGACTTACTTGTAGACTTTGAAGGATGAACAACAACTCTGTAATATTGATATATAGATTACCATTTTTTATCAATAACCATTTTCTTTTTGTCAATAACCATTTTCTTTTTCTTTTTGTTTCTAGTTATTGAAGATCTGCATTTTCCGAAAGCCACTTCTACTGTTTCATTTTTAGATATGGAAATTAGATTTTATCTGTACTAATTTGCCTTGAAAATTAACACTTTACATTGGAGCATCTTTTTTTTTTTAAAGCTCCTTGTTAATTTTCATGGCAGAATAATAAGAGATATAATTACAATGAACATATGTACTAGGAAAACAGCTTTCCCCATATCTGCTTAGCAGCTATCAACTTTGCAAGAGGAGACATCAACTTTGCAAGAGGAGACATCAAGTACAAGAGGAGACATCAAGTACAAGAGGGAGACATCGAGCTTAGAGGGGTACCCCTCTCTTTCGCATCTTCATATTCTTCTGGTGACACCAGCAAAGGCAACAAAGCACCACCCCTCCCTAAACTAAAAAAATCAAAAACTTGCAACTATAATCTCTTGTGGCAATAATTGAGTCACCCCCCTCACATATTGGTTAAATGGGAAAAACTTTCCAAAAAAAAAAAAAGAAGGAAAAAAAGACTACAAACCAAAAAAACAACCCATGTGGGTCAAACTATGGTCATTTAAGCACTAGCTTTATTTCTACGGGGGGTAACTCAATTATGTCACCTCTCCTATTAATTCTCAAAATTTACAAGGTGTAAAAAAAAGGTTGTTTTTTTTGTCATATTTTTAGTTTATCTTTTTGTTTCAAAATCCCACAAAAGAATTTCAAGAGATTTGAATTGTTGCACATTGGGGGTTCTCTTTGTTCCCTTTTATTTTTATTTTATTTTTTATTTTATTTTATTTTATTTTATTTTATTTTATTTTATTTTATTTATTTTATTTTTTTTTTTTTTTTGGTCAAGTATATATCAATGGGGATTGAAGTCAATAGAATTTCATTTTTACTAGAGGTTGAATGAATCCATATAGTAAGAAAGTAGAGAATTTGCTCTGAAAACAATAATGACTCAACTTCCTTCTGTCTCTGAACTTATGAATTCAGCAAAGTTGTTTAATCCTCCAAGTAATGCTGGTAATAGTAAGATAAGCGGCTCAACGGTTTCACCAATAGGTAGTAATAGGAATAGCATTGTTACCGTAAATACTTCAGTTGCAGGCTTACATTTGAATCAGCACTCGTCGGCTCCATTGAGCAGCAGTGCTCAACTGACAAAAATGCCATTCTTGTCCTCGCTAGTCAATAATTATACAAGTAGCGCTACTAATATTATCGATACAAGGTCACCAAATCAAACAACGGTTCTACCGCGGATCTCCTCGTATGAAACACCTATGAACGAATTCAGACCGCCTCCTCGTCGTTTGACTGATTCTTCAATTTACCCCAATATTCAAGAATCATCAACGTCTACGTTCTACTCATTACCACCACCACCACCCCCGCAACAACAACATGAAAGTGTGGATGTAAATAGCGACATTGTGAGAATGCACCAACCTCATCAGGCAAGCAATTCTGCAGTACAGGCAAGTAATTCTGCAGTGCAGGCAATGTCGTCGGTTCCTAATCTTCCAACTTTGCTCCACCACCAGCAGCACGGGTCACATTTTCATCACGAGAATCACAGCACGATACCGCATACTCCTCAATCACCAATATATGCGCACGTAGCCGAATATCCTAGGCGGTCGCCAACAACACATATCGTGCCACCAGTTGCTACATTTACATCTCAAAGTTCACACATTGCAGCAGTCCACTCAGCAAATTCAACATTTGATTATTCGCATCCTCCAGAAGGGTACTATGCATTGCACGAAGACCCATACGTACGCGATGTCAAGCCCCAGTTTGTTGCGGTCTCCTCCATTGGGTCGGTTGCGTCTTCTTCTGCAAATCCTGCTTCATCAGGTGGTTACTACATTGTTCATGGCCCTCCTTTAAATTCAGTATCTCAGTATCCCCAATACGTTACTCATCCTTTAGATCATCGTTATAGTGGACCTCCACTACCGCCAGGCCAACATTACGATGCATCGTACCCTTACACACTCTCGGAAGCAATTTATATCGAAGAAAACGATCCATTTATGAGCAAACGCAAGACAATTAAGAAGAGAACAAGAACAGGATGCTTGACATGTCGAAAAAGACGAATCAAGTGCGATGAAAGAAAACCTTCATGCTTCAATTGCGAACGAAGCAAGAAGGTTTGTTTAGGATATGAAGATTTATCAAACTTACAGCCGAGGAGGAGGACAAGAGACACTAGTTTGGATCTCCCCATAGGAAATGGTCACATGGAGCACGAACAACGAATGATTAGAAATGGAAGGCATTATGGGAACGAACATGAAGCTCAAGGATATCGTAATGGAAGTAGTCATTACGGAGAACAACAACAACAGCAGCAGCAACAACAACAACAACAGCAACAACAACAACAACAACAACAACAGCAACAACAACAACAGCAGCAGCAACAGCAACAACAACAACAGCAGCAGCAGCAGCAACAACTACAAAATCATCCATATATCAATGGCACACCGCAGTATCAAATTCCGAATAATTCGGCTGTAGGAAATAACCAGAATGGGATGATTTCGCCCACTAGGTATATGCCACAGCTGGCACCTGAGGGTCAAATTCATCAGAGCGTTAGAGATAGCAGGTACGATTTTACAAGTATTGCTCCTACTCAAAGTAATGCTCATCAAATGATGTCTAATCAACATGATCCACATCCACTTAATCGCAACGTAGTGGCGTCGTTATCTTCATTCCAACCAATGGTCAATAATAACAGAGAAATCGTTCACCAACTCCACAACCACCCTCCTCCTCTTCCCCCATCCATGGCCGAATCTGCTACACACCGACATCAGACTGAGGAACCAACAACTAGAAATATGCCTAATTAATGGCTTCAAGAAGAGAATAAAGACAATCTCTCATTATGTAAAAATATACTAAATAAGATGTGTAATAAAAAAAAAACAATGTACAATAAACAGAGTAAAGAACAAGTGTTAAAATCTAATATCTGCGTTATGATTTGCGCTTTCATTAAAGGCTCTATGATGCATCTTTCAGTAGTAAAGGCTTTTCACATCATGAAAAAAAAAAATAAAAAGTAAAACTCTTTTTTTTTTTTTTTTTTGAAAACTAGCAAATTAGGTGATTAAGATGAAAATATGACCACATGGTACTATGCCACACATATACATCTCCTCCTATACACCCAAACGCATCAATTTGCTATTGGAATAAGCCGTGATTTTAGGGTGAGTGATAAGTAAAATGAGCAAATTGGTAGGTCATAAAGTAACACCACCATAATTAATAAAAAAAATAAATGTAGTGTGCTGCCCTTTCAATTTTCATTTTTTTCTTCTTTAAACCTGCATTGGTTTGCAAACAATACGTGTACCTTTATGTTTATAATTCGATTACCATGTGTTGAAATGTCAATCAAAATCATAACGAATTCAGTTGTTACTAAATGAGTAGTTAAACCTCCTTGTCTTTTTTTTTTCCCCCCCCAAGATTTTCCAAGAAAGAAAAAGATGAACAATACTGGCAATTAGTTTGATGCCCCAACGCACAAACTTCCGGAAGAGGTTTGCATGTCAAATAATATGTACATGCTGATCCGTTGATTTAGTTGAAGCTGTCTTTTTTCCGTAGTGTTAGTTTCTACCTATAGCGGATTAGTTGTTGGTTGATTCTATCAAAATGTTTAGCAAGGAAAAAAAGGATATCGGTGTGTATATCCAGTGAGGAGCAAACCTCTGTGTAGGTGAAGCAATGTTTCTTTCTCTCAGGTGCTAGAAGGCAACTTTTGTCGAGATAATAGCCATTGTCAAAGCACCTTCCCACCTCCACCATCTTTTCAGCATATAATGCATTAATTAGTAGGTAATGGACTATTTTTGTCAAATGTTCATCCTCAATGTTTTTTTAGTTCTTTTTCTGACTTACATATCCTACTAATCCATGATTTCAACAAAACTCATTCCCTTTTCCCACTGTCAGATCTGACATTAACCCGTGTCGCATAAACCTAGTGACAACTGCAGATGCACTTTTATCCCAACACATCAGAGTATGGTGGGTACATGCACACAATAAACTGAAACTTAATTTAGATGACAATATTTGGCGACTTCCAGTATACAGGTGGGTCTAAAATAATTAGCTAACCTATTGTGGATTTTCAACTCATTCCCCCCCCTAAATAACTGTTTTCTAGATTCATTAACAAAACAGTCATTATAGAATTCCAATTGTAAACACTTGAAACATATGTCTATGTATATTTTATATAACGTTACATATGTAGTGGTGATTGTTTTGTTACACCAGGGTCAATATTTCATCCTTGATTACAGATACATTTCCTTTTTTTCAATATTCGTGTTAAAAATTACATCAATTTTCTTTCTTTCTTTGATTCAATAATATTAACTCCTTTTTTTTTAACAAGACAATTAAAGCATTCTTAGATATGCCTCTTATGACTTGTTGTAAGAAATTTCCATGTACAGAAAAGATCAAGAGCCACTGTGTAAAGTCATGCATGTAATCTAGATTGCTGGCAGAGAAGCGTGACCCGACACTATCGAGCAGAGCGAGATAGTGGAACAACACTTTTTACCTTGATACCTTTGTACTTTAAACATACCTCAAAACCTCACACGGAACCTCACACGGAATTTTTCTATGTATATTAGAGATAGAGTGCAACTTTTCAATGTATATTAGAGATAGTACAACTTTTCAATGTATATTAGAGATAGTGCAACTTTTCAATGTATATTGGTCATATATGGATTGGCACCTTTGTAATTCATAAATTATACCGGGGTGTAGGTGACAGTCAGTGTGCTCCACTATCTCGCTCTGCTCGATAGTGTGTGGACCCCTCTTCAATATGTTCCCATGACAATTTAAGTTTTTAGCTCTAGCGGGAAATGCTATTTTCAGTTACTCAATATACTTTTCATAATCCAAACAACAGTTCGGTCAGCGGGTTCTTTTTTTTTTCCTTCTTCTCGCTTAGTCTCAAACCCGACTAACTTGCGGAAATAGTCACTATCTTGTAAGCTTTAAACAGGTGTTTCTGTTCTTATCGGGAAAACGACATTTTTTGTCCGTTGAAAAATTACTAGAGCCAATAAATCTCGCATAAAACGTACATGGTCTACGTCTATACACACCCGACAGACACACAGCAACACACCAAAAAAGAAGTACGCTATATTAAGAGTCTATATAAGATGGTTCACTACTTTGCTTTTTATTCATAGTTTTTCTAGCTCATTAAATCAGTCGAATCACAGCTTGAACCACCGCTTTTCTGTTTTTCTTTTTTAATCTTATCAATCGTTAGTACCAATTTTAGTAACCGTCGGACTTTTTTTCTTTTTTTTTTTCTTCCTCTTTATAAAGTAAGTTACACCACTTTTTAGCATCTTCTTTTGCTTCACACGGGTTTGTTGCGTTTTCTTTTGGCAGTTGAGAGGTGAGTTGGTGTTAGAAGAGGACTGGAAGCTGACTGGAAATAGGCTACAACGGTGACCCGAGTCAATCAGTCGACATCTATTAAAAACGGAAATACATCTTCACTATATATACACTTCTCCGCTATATATATATACACTTTTTTCCCACTTTAATAACACATTTAACCCCCAAAACCGCTTGAGAACACCCGCGCTATGTCTGTTAAAGCAAGGAAAATAGCTGTTGTTGGCTCACGATCTGTTGGCAAATCATCAATGACCGTGCGGTTTGTTGATGACCACTTTGTAGAGAGTTATTACCCAACAATAGAAAACCAGTTTAGTAAGAATGTCAAATTCAAAAACCAAGAATATGCTCTTGAGATCTTGGATACAGCGGGACAGGATGAATATAGCATTATGAATGAAAAACATCTAATCGGGGTTCATGGATACCTCTTGGTTTACTCAGTTACATCAAAACATAGCTTTGAGTTGGTAGAATTCATTAGAGATAAAATATTGAATTCAATAGGCAATGAAAATATACCAATGGTTCTAGTGGGGAACAAAAGTGACTTGAATTATCAGAGGCAGGTTGAAACTAATCAAGGCAAGGAATTAGCAGAAAAGTTTAATTGCAAATTTTTGGAAACGTCAGTAAAAGAAAATTATCATATAACACAGTCTTTTCAATCATTGATTGAAGGAATAGAAAGGATACAGAATCCTCCAATAACGAAGAAAGAGGAAAAATGCGTGATTATATAGTAGGGGGAAGGAGAAGGAGAAGGAGAAGGAGAAGGAGAAGGAGAAGGACAAAGAGAAAGAGAATGGGAAGGGGGGAAGAAAAGGAAAAAAAAAAAAAAGATAAGGATAGTGGATTTTTCCATATGTTTTTCGATAATCTCCTATATATTCTCAATTTCTCTCCTAAAATATAAACTGTAAATTACAATCTATTGGATGGGATGCAGTTAGTTGAGGCTTCTGACTATACTTGGATTGCAAAATTGCCCTCATATTTTGCAACAAACTCAAATACGACTGATTAGGATTCTGATTCATCACCGTCAAAAATGCATAGCTCATTGCTCCTATAGCTTGTCCGTTTTCTCTTGAATCAGCACTTGTTTGATTGTCTTTACAGCCACTAAATGATATTGCATCACATGGCGCTGTTTTGGTCTGTTTGCTAACTTTCTCCGCTTTAGAAGCTCTGCCTTCATTCATGAATGACTTGACTGTAGATCCCAATCCTTTGAGAATTCCCGCGCTGTTTCCCGAGGCGTAGGACATTGCAGCTTGTAATAAACCCAGCCCTGCTTCGGCCATCACATTTGGTTCCTTCAACACACCCTTTGTTGAGTACATGTATGGCAAGTCCAACACTGATCCCGAATGGCAGGAATCGAACAATGCAGTTAATCGACATCCAGGTGGTAAGGTTTTGATCATCATGTCGTGGAGCAAATCATCGATTATAAAGCCATTAGTCTCGAAATCAAGCGGGTATATAACTTCATCGTATCCATCATCTTCGTCGTAGTTACCATATTGATCAGGCTGATCTGCAGTCTGACCACCATGACCTGAAAAATGAAAGAACAACGAGTCATTAGGCTTTGCGTCTTTGACTAACCATTGTATTGCATCCAATATGTTCTTTCTCGTTGGAATAGCTCTTTGGATTCTTTGATTGTCTGTTAGCTTGACTATATTGTCTGAGCTGAAGCCATGTCTCAATAAAAAGTTCTCGACGTTATTAACGTCGTTTATAGGTCCTTTCAACTCATTCGAAGTCCCTATATAGTTGATTCCCACCAAGAGAGCCTTTTTGCGGCCATTGCAGTTTGAGTATCTGTAGTTATAGTTGTCTACCCCAAACGATTGTTGCTGGCTTGGAGGGCGTGTATAATTTCCCGATCCATATCGATGACCATAATCGGGCTCTCCATTATACCCTGGCTCAGACCTAGCACCGTACTGCTGCTGCTGCTGCTGCTGCTGGGGTGGTGGATTACTTGGCCTTTGATATCCTCCGGCATTACTGTAGTTATGCGAGCTTGGAGGCGGCCCACTGGGTCTTTCATAGCCCCACAGATTTGGGGGCGGTGCGCCCTGCGGAGGAGGATAATAACCGCCGTTAAACGGCGGAGGCCCTGGCGGAGCATTATAATAAGGCTGCTGCTGCTGTTGCATCGGTGGTCGTTGACCACCATAAGTATATCTACCCTGTCCCGGAAACATCTCTTGGAGTGCCGTCTTGACTTGAAAAGAAATAACTATACTACAATACTACAATACTACAATACTACTACAACCTTTAAATCTTGATATCGTGGGTTTTTGTAAACAGATCAAGAAATGGTATTAGTACACTACCACCTGAAAAATGGTATATAGTACACTACCACCCGAAAAAATGCTATACAGTACACTACCACCTGAAAAAATGTTTTTTCTTTTTCTTTTTTCGCATCAGATCAGATTAGATCAGATCAGATCAGGACAGGACAGGGCAGGACAGATGATGACAATAGAGGTGTGTGGGAAAAGGGTTCAATAGGTGTTATCAAGGAGGTCTTGGGTTGAAAAGGGATTGCTTTTTCCTTTTCTTTTCTTTTTTTTTGCTGGATCAACAGGGGGTAAGTAATTGGGAACTATAGTGGCTTATGTTGGCTTCTCCTCGAGGGTTTTTGAGAAGTAAGTTGGCCCAAAATGCGATGAATCTCTGCAATCTCTTTGCTTTGTTTTAACAAGGCCAATTGATCAAAGGACATAAAAGAAGGTACAAGCTTTCTCTCTGGAGCCCAAAGAGAAAGACACATTCTCTCTCCAGACGCAAGAGAGGTGCCCACAGTCAAGGACATTGGACTTGAAATACGCCCCCCCTGCCCCCAAATAGATGCAATGGCTCCTAAATACACTGGCCTTCTTTCAAGCTTTATGGCGATTGAATATCGGGCAGATATCGCGAACCTTGAAACAAATAAACTAAAAAAGCTTAAAAAAAGGGGATAAAGTATTTGGTATAACAGCAAGTTTTTGCTGGTTTTTGCTGGTTTTTGCTGGATACGTTGGTTTTTATTGGTTTTTACTTGTTTTTGTTGGTTTTTACTGGATTTTGCTACGCCAAAGGCTGGAAGATGTCGTTGTTTGAGACAAGAAAGAAGAAAAACAAGAACAAGAACAAGAACAAGAACAAGAACAAGAACAAGAATAACCATACAAAGAAAACTTCTTTAAAGCCAGGTCCAGTTTACTCCAAGGATGGTATTCCCTATGATTATATGGTTGTTATAGATGCGGGCTCAAAGGGATCAAGAGTTCACATCTACAATTGGCTAAACCCTAAAGGCATATTTGAAAAATCGGCAGATGTACGCAATTCCCGGTTCAGTGTTAGAGGCAAAGAAGAAGAAGAAGAAGAAGAAGAAGAAGAAGAAGAAGAAGAAGAAGAAGAAGAAAAAGAAAAAGAAGAAGAAGAAGAAGAAGAAGAAGAAGAAGAAGAAAAAGAAAAAGAAGAAGAAGAAGAAGATGACGGCGACGGCAAAGAACACAAATCCTCACCCAATGATAGCGACTCGGATAGTGAGTACCCTAACGAGCAACCTAGACTCTTTCCCAAGATCCATACTAAGGAGAAATGGCACAAGAAAATAACTCCCGGGATCTCATCTTTTAACAGCGCCCCTAACAAGATAGGCAAGCACCACCTTTTCAAACTTCTTTCTAGAGCTAGTAAGATAGTACCAAAATCGCAGCATCATAGAACTCCAATTTTCCTTCATGCAACAGCAGGAATGAGACTATTATCGCCAACGGAACAACGACAAATCCTCAGTGAGATTTGTAGAGTTTTTGAAAATCAATCAGACTTTTTCATCCCCGATTGTGCAACGCACGTGAATGTTATAGATGGGGATCATGAAGGGTTATATGGCTGGTTATCAATTAATACGCTTATTGGTGCATTTGATCAACCGCAAAACCACCAGCATGGTAAAAATCACACAACATATGGATTGCTAGATATGGGCGGAGCCTCGACACAAGTTGTATTTCAACCAAACTCAACCGAGATTGAAGAGCACCAGAATAATCTATACCGCGTCATATTGCGCCATATGCCATTGTTCAATCAAGAAACAAAATTATATGACGTGCCTCAACAAGAAAAATTTAACGTTTATTCAGATTCGTTTTTGGGATTTGGAATGTTTGAAGCAAGAACAAAGTATTTCAATTATTTAGTTGCTTCAGATGACAGGAATTACCAATATCATTATTGGGGGAGAACTAAATCTCCTACAAACGATCCATGTCTTCCTAAAGGTTTCACCACATCTGAGACTATTGGCGACAACTCCTACGATTTCATTGGAGAGTCAAATTTCGAAGATTGTCTTACTAAAATCTTCCCGGTATTGCAAAATTCTACTCATGGAGGTGCACCAAAGACCAATTGTAAACAACTTAGTGAAGGAGACGAAGTAAGTGAGTGTTTGCTAAACGAATTGATACCTTCGTTTGATTTCGATGTGAATCATTTTGTCGGCGTGAGTGGCTACTGGGATGCCATCGAAGCCTTGCTATCTCAGAGGGAAGAACAAAAGAGAGATGAAATACAGGATCTAAGAAACACATACAACTATCAAACTATTTTCAACAAGACTAAAAAAGTTTGTTCACAATCATGGTCTACTCTACTAGAACTTAATTTGCAAAAGGATAAAAAGGATAGATTATCACAAGATGAATTGTCTGAATTATGTTTCAAGTCCTCTTGGATTCTAAACTTTTTACATTCAGGATTAGGATTTCCTCGCTTTGGGATTGATAAACCTACTGCTAATATCACAACTCCTACCAATAGTAATAATAATAATAATAATAATAATAATAATAATGAGGGATTTCAAACTTTACAATTGGTTGAGAGACTAGATGGATCGTTTTTCTCGTGGACTTTAGGAAGAGCAATGTTGTACGCTAATGATGAATATATTCAGGCATTCAACAACTACTCAGCGCAATTTGAAGACTCACAACCGCCCTTGCAGAGGCCAGGTTTTCATCACAGTCTTTCAGAAGCATTATATCATTTTGGAGCAGAGCAAAATAACATTGCATCGAGACCTCCGTTTGCAGCTGAAGATGTTACAAAATCATATTATTACTACGATTACGAGAAAAATGAAGAAACAGACCATGAACTGAAATGGAATATAGAACCACATAGATGGTATGGGATGATTGTGTTTGGAGTATTGTTGGCTATAGTGGGATGGTTGATGATGGGTAGTAGAAGAAGGCAATTGTCTGTCACCAAAATTGCAAGTGCTTTCAAAAAACTTGTTAAAAATACTCCCGGTTTTAACAAGTCAAAGTACGTTTCCGTGCCTACGGAAGGTGACATTGAAGCTCCTACGTTTGAATTGGATGATATTGTTGATAAAGATGACGTGGATGATCAATTTCGAATTAGTGATGATGATGAACCAGAGCTGGAGGAGGGAGAGAGGGAGATAAACTAAGCCAAGTTGAATATTTTGCTTCAATAGGTCCTTTTTATTTTCTATTATTACTATTATTCTTGGATACTCACAACGTACTTTTCTCCATTTGCGCCCATTGTTTCCAAATCCTTCAAGGCGTCATCGATTATTTCCAACCCACCTTTATATTGTTTGTATCGAGCCGGTTTGATCAATCTGTTATCCAAAAAGGAAGTTGTTGCTTCTATAAATTTTGCACCAAACGCAACATCTTCGTGGAATCGTTTAATAACAACTTCTTTCAACTCAACCAGTGAGGGGACCTCTCTTGGAACTCCAACTATTCCTGCAAATAACAGCTTTGTTTTGTGTTTTGCTAATTTCTTGTGATTTTCATCAAGTAAGGAAAGAACCTTGACTGATGTTTCTTTTGAAACACAATCAATACCAAAATCAATTCCATTAGGTGCGGCATTATACACTTGTTTTTGGATCTCCTCAATTTGTAAATGTCTATTTACCAATTCATCAACTCCTATTTCTTTCAAATACCTCTCATGCTTCGTGCTTGCAACAGATATAACTCTTAATCCATTTAACTTAGCCAATTGCGTCACATAGATGCCAACTATGGTAGCTCCACCCCAGACCAACAAGGTACCATTCTTGCATGGTTTTGGTTTTGGTTTTGGTTTAGATTCAAGTTTGAAACCAAATGAATTGTAAAGTAAGACACCCGCGGTAACTAATCCAACACCTATCGTAGCGCCATCTTCATAGGTGAAATTCTGGGGCAATTTCCAAACCAACCGAGAATCGATTGCTGTATATTGTTGAAATGTAGAGGTTCGATTATCTCTGTAACAAGTGGAGCTCAAAATTACCTTGTCGCCAATACGTAACCCTTCCTTTACTTGTGATCCGATCTTGACTATATCACCACTAGATTCACGGCCGTTAATCCAGGGGAAATGGTAAATCCCAAACCCATATTTCTTACCTTTCCAATCTATCGGATTGAGACCTATAGCTTTATTGTTAACTAGAATTTCATGTGGTAGAATCTCAGGTATTGGGTACTTTGTTTGAAGCTTGAGTGGTTCTTTTAAATGAGTTATTGATAAAATAGATTGGTTTCTAGCATTGAATGTGATTTGCGCTATAGGGTCACATGGCGGCTGGGCAACGTCCACATTTGTAGCTACTTGATTGTATTTAGCTACCTTGAACTTGTTCAGTTCAGCAGTGTCACTTGGCTCGCGAAGCCTTTTAATTCTTTTATATGAAGACTCTTGGACTCTAGTTACTGACATGGTGGACACTGACACTAATGAGCAACACTATCGGGTAGACACTATCGGGTAGACACTATCGGGTAGACACTATCGGGTAGACACTATCGGGTAGACACTATCGGGTAGACACTATCGGGTAGACACTATCGGGTAGACACTATCGAGCAGAGCGAGATAGTGGAGCAGCACTTTGTAGATACTTGATCGACACTATTGAGCAACAGGTGGCAGACTAATGAGCAACAGGTGGCAGACTTATGAGCAACAGGGGGCAGACTAATGAGCAACACTTAATCGACACCTAATCGACACTATCGAGCAAAGAGAGATAGTGGAGCAATACCTTTTAGCGATACTGACAAGAGTAAAACACTTACTAGCGATATGAGATTGAGAAAAAACCTATTCCCAAGTCTACTATATAAATACACACAAATACACACATATATATACATGGATAAATCCACATATTAGAGCAAGCCCATTATCAACCACCAAGATAAAGATAATTGTGAATCATATTGCGCCCCATAAGCCCAAAAGCTCAAAGGAGTTCGGCATAAAAAGTGTGGCAGCCGATAAATTTTTTTCTTTTCGCAGCCAAATTGGAGCCACATTGAACAAATAAAAATAATAACTTGGTAGCGTTTGTATTTATGTAGAATTCAATAGGAATTACCGATTAAAAGTTAAAATGGTGCAAGAAAGGGGCAGAGTGGGGGCCAATATCGAGGAAACCACTATTGAGCAAACCACTATCGAGCAAACCACTATCGAGCAGAGCGAGATAGTGGTGCACAATTATATTAATATAGTGGTGCACAATTAAATAGTAATATAGTGGTGCACAATTATATTAATATAGTGGTGCACAATTAAATATTAAGAATATATAGTCAACATAGTTGCCCTCTATTGAGCAGAGCGAGATAGTGGTGCATAATTAAATATTAATATATAATTAGTTTACACACTAGCTGCTAGAGAAAGGGGATGGGAGAAAGGGGAAAAAGGGGAAGGGGGAAGAAAGATTTGGATTTTTTACTTTGTTACTCCTGGCCACTATTAAGCAGAGCGAGATAGTGCACAATTAAATATTAGTAATATATAGTTGATCTAGTTTACACATTAGCTGCACTATCGAGCAGAGCGACACTATCGAGCAGAGCGAGATAGTGTTATAAGAAGCTACAAAGTGTTGCTCCACTATCGAGCAGAGCGACACTATCGAGTAGAGCGAGATAGTGTTATAACAAGCTACAAAGTGTCATTCCACTATAGAGCAGAGTGTCACTATCTCGCTCTGCTCGATAGTGGAGCACAATTAAATATCAATGATATATAGTTAACATAGCTGCCCACTATCGAGCAGAGCGAGATAGTGTTATAACAAGCTACAAAGTGTCGCTCCACTATCGAGCAGAGCGACACTATCTCGCTCTGCTCGATAGTGTAATAACAAGCTACAAAGTGTCGCTCCACTATCGAGCAGAGTGTCACTATCTCGCTCTGCTCGATAGTGTTATAACAAGCTACAAAGTGTCGCTCCACTATCTCGCTCTGCTTGATAGTGGTGCACAATTAAATATTAATATATAATTAACATAGTTTACACACTGACTAGCTGCCACCGACACTTTGTAGCTTGTAACAACACTATCGAGCGGAGCGAGGTAATGTTATTAGTCTATGTGCTTCACTATCGAGCGGAGCGAGACTATCTGCCACCGACACTTTGTAGCTTGTTACAACACTATCGAGCGGAGCGAGACTATCTGCCACCGACACTTTGTAGCTTGTTACAACACTATCGAGCGAAGCAGGATAGTGTTATTAGTCAATGTGCTTCACTATCTCGCTCTGCTCGATAGTGTCGGAGACTATCTGCCACCAACACTCAGTACCTTGTAACAACACTTTGTAGCTCGTTACAACACTATCTCGCTCTGCTCGATAGTGTCGCTCTGCTCGATAGTGTCGCTCTGCTCGATAGTGTCGCTCTGCTCGATAGTGTCGCTCTGCTCGATAGTGTCGCTCGATAGTAGAGCAACACTTTGTAGCTCGCTACAACACTAGCTCGCTTCGCTCCCTAGTGTTGCCCTAGTGTTGCCCTAGTGTTGCCCTAGTGTCGCTTTCTTTTTTGTATTTCCCGAAAAGTATGCTACTATTGACCCCGCCGAATCCAAAGGAGTTACACATAGCATAGTTCAAATCATTGACTCCGAGTTTCGCTTTTTTCGCAACATAGTCAAATTTAAACTGACTAGGATCATCAGCTGAGTTTCCACCTGGAAATTCGAGATTCAATGTCGGCGGCACTTGTGCCGTTTTTAATGTATTTAATGTAAATATAGCTTCAACAGCGCCGGCTGCGCCTAATAGATGTCCTATAGATGATTTTGTAGATGAAACCAAGGTGGTTTCATGGTTGAATATCTTTGCTATTGCATTATTCTCTGCTCGGTCTCCAATTACCGTAGATGTAGCATGGGCGTTGATGTACCCTACCTTGGCAGGGTCAACTTGTGCTCGCGATAAAGCTTGTACCATTGCATTATACGCACCCTCTCCATCTTCTCTTGGTGCGGTAATATGGTGTGCATCACCAGATATTCCATATCCTAGCACCTCGCCATATATCTTGTCTTGTGAAAGACCTCTTTTCAAAGCATGTTCCAAGCTTTCAAGTATCACTATCCCGCAACCTTCACTCAACACAAACCCGTCTCTGTCCTTGTCAAACGGTCTACTTGCGCTCTTAGGATCATCATTGAAACCAGTCACTACCGACCTTGCTCTTGCGAACCCCGCCAATGCTAAAGGGTGTATTGAACTTTCAGTACCACCACAAACCATAACATCAGAATAATCCATTTTGATAAAATTGTAAGCATCCCCAATAGATTGTAGGCCGGTTGCACATGCTGTAGATACTGAATGCAAAGGCCCTTTCAAATCGTATTTGATTGAAATATTGCCCGCAGCCATATTGTTGAGGAGTTTGGGTATGAATAATGGCTGTACTTTTTTGTACCCTGACTCATTGAATGCGGTGGTGTTGTTATATATATCATGAAATGATCCAATCCCACTTCCTACTGCAACTCCTATCCTTCTTTTGTCATCTACTTTTACCTCAGTTCCTTCTTCAACTAATAAACCTGAATCCTTAAATGCTTCTTGCGTACATGCCAATGCATATTGACTAAACTCGGCTAGTCTTCGAGTATCAGATTTGACCAAATGGTCGTTAACATCCCATTTACCTTCATTAATGGACCCCAGAGGCACTTTTCCAATCACTTTGGATGGTATTTTGTCCCATCCATCTTTTACATAATAGGGTAATTCCGATGTAGAAATTATTCCCGATTCACCACCAATGAGTCTTTTCCAATTGTGTCTTAAACCTACACCTAATGGGGAGATTATCCCTATTCCTGTAACTACAACTCTTGTCATAGGTGCATTATTGGTCTAAGAGAAAGACCTTCTTGTTCTATTACTGTGAAATTTACATATATATATATATATATTTTTCAATGGTTGACATTTTTTTTTTCAATTTTTCATCAACTGAAATCTTTCTATTGATGAAACCTTGTCACCATTGAGAGACACTATCGAGAGACACTATCGAGAGACACTATCGAGCAGAGCGAGATAGTGTCATTAGTCAATGTGCGGCACACTAGCTGTCACCGACACTGACTACACCGACAGTACTGACTAGCTTATTATAACACTCTTGAGCAAATAGTACCAAATGGTAACTAGCCAGTAGTAACCAAATAGTAACCAAATAGTAACCAAATAGTAACTAGTCAATAGTAATTGGTCAGTGTGCTCGATAGTGTCGGTGTAGTCAGTATGCTCCACTATCTCGCTTTGCTCGATAGTGTCGGTGCAGTCAGTGTCGGTTAAAGTGATCTAAATAGCATTTGAGCCTCTTTTCATCTCCAAGCAAAAAATTCATTTCATCTTGAGCGACATCCAAGTCAACATTATAATGATTCAATAACTTGATCCAATTATCAAAATGCGACGAAACTTGATCATTGTTTGAAAACTTTTCTTGCTCAATTTCCTCTTTCTCATTGAGTACTAATCTCTTGTTTAAAAACTCTTTGAATTTCAAAACTTTGACATTATCCAGAGTCTTGGTCTTTTTCTTATATTCCTTTTCAAATTTGGAAAAGTTATTGAGAAATAGTTTATAGCTGCGGAATAAATCTTCCTTCTCAGCAGTAGTGATTTGATCAAATTTATTCAATTCCAAATAATGCAGGGTATAGAATGTTTGATAAAATGACTTCTTCACTTCTTCCTTATGGTTTTGCAAAAATGATAATAGTAATAGCTTTTGAGTAGGGAAAATACCGTTTTGATTGCTGACTATTTCCTCCTTTTGTTTATTCATTTTCTCTCTATTTCCCAACCAATCTTTAAAAATGGCTTCTTTCTCCTTTTTAGTTTGAATAGCATGAAATGCGGAATGAGTTGTAAGCTCGTCTACTAGACTATCCTCAACAATATCCCAATTATCAAATGGTGAAATTTGTGAGGAAAATTGATCTAATAATGTGATGAAATCTTGCCTAGAGTCGGCAGTCTCAAATTGTTCTTCCTCTTGTTCTTCTTCCTCTTCACTTGAAGAGTAACCCGATACTATTCCTCGCCTCACATTTTCAATCTTTTCTGCAACCTCAATTTTCTCAACAGGACTTGAAGTACCAGCATCTTCATTACCGACTAGATCATCATCATCCTTCACCTCCAGCTTGAGCTTCACCTCCAGCTTCAGCTTCACCTCCAGCTTCAGCTTCACCTCTGGCTTCACTGTTTTCGTTTGCGCTACCTTTTCTTCCTCAACCACATCATCATCATCTCTCTGCCTCTTGCGGTCCTTTTGAATATCCAATCCACGAGTTTTGGCGAATAATAACCCCAATTCATCGAAATTAACATTTTTCATCAATGCATCAATATCCAATTGGTAAGCATCTCGTAAATCACTCAATTGCCAATATGCATTACCATCCTGTTTACTAAAATAAAAATGATGCAGTGTATCTGTAACAACTATATAGAATAAACTTTGAGGGATTTGATATACAAATTGCGGTCGACAATGCATATTTTGGACACCTCCTTTTGGCTTTTGAAGGGGGAGGGGGAGGGGGGGACAGGACATACAAACTACTTGTGGGTTCTAAAGCCATCGGGGTTCGGGGAAAAAAAAAAAAAAAAAAAAGTCAAGTCCGCTTTTTTGTGAGATAAGGGTTTCACGCTACCATGTCCGTACTTTTCACCACTTTGGGAATATGCCGCTAAGAGTTTTAATATATAACAAAAAGATTGCAAAAAGGTTTAATAAGATCTTCTACTTTCGACCAAATACCGACATCTTCTCTAGTAACCGGTACTCTAAGTCAATTAAACTCGTGTGTGAGTTACCTCTTCTTCAACTGATTTAGTTGCTTTGGCTAAACGGTTTTAGATCATAGTAAGAAATCGACACGATGGTCTCATCTCATTAGTCAAAAGACTAAATATACCTTTGTATCGCGCTTCGACTCCCCCACAAACCTTTTAACTAAGCTTCCATCCCCGTTAAGTCCCGGAACCACTGGAAAATGAATTAAAGGTTCGTATGTGCAAAGTGTGATAGTGGAAGATATATCCTGTAAATTCTACCCCACGGGGAACCACTTTTGATAAAATACTAAATACTGCAATATTCTTATTACTGCTATATTTTATTAGCACTGAGCTGTATATTATATTAGAATAGCTATATATTTTAATTGAGCTATATATTTTATTAGCAATTGAAGGTGTATATATTTTTTTACTCTGTAGAAATAAAAATAATCAACCACTTATATCAAATGGTTTAACCAAAAAAACAGAGCTCGTCAATTTCATTTTGGCATTTGGAGTAAATGGCGTGGTGCAGTGTGGTGCAGTGCAGTGCAATGTAGTCTGTAGTGGTATTTAGTGGTGTGTATGGGGTAATCTATCAAATAGATCTATTTCATCAATTAGATCTGTTCTCTTTTTTTTTTTTTTTTTTTTTTTTTTTTTTTTTTTTTTTTTTTTTTTTTTTAAACATTGTAAATTAAGACTGACTAACTAACTAGCATATTTACTGACATTTTTAGTCGTTTGGATTGAATAGATTCATCAGGCTTATGAGAAACAGTGCTTGATGAAACATCATAGCCTCCTATTTTGTCAACTGTAACAACCACACTATTACCTCTCCTACTTCCTAGATACGCCTTGACCAGTTCCTCCATTTCCTCTTCTTCTTCCATTTCCTCTTCTTCCACTTCCTCTTCTTCGCTACCACTTGTTTGTACGATTTCACCCTCCTTATTATGCTTATAGGTTCTTCTTATTCTAGTAATTGCCTTTTCGCTTCCCTTGTGTAGATTTTTCGCGTGTCTCAAGAGCAAATCCCTGCGTGAAAAAGGTCTTGAACATATGCCACAAGTGAATGGCTTCAACTTGTTATGTGTAGATAGTACATGTCTCGACAAATGCTCTTCTCTCGTAAAGGCTCTTTGGCATAAATGACAATTGTAAATTCTCGAATGGCCCAGCGGTGTTTTCGTGCCATAATTCGGAGTCTTTTTAGGTAATTCTTGTGAAACCTTGTAGTTTATAGAATCTGTCGATATCGTTGAGTTTGTTGAGGATGCTTGATTCAAGAGCGATGCTGTGTAATTCATTGTACCGTGTAAAAGTAATTCTTGTTTTGAAGTCGATGAGTCGGGTGAAAAACTCTCAATATTACTGTCAACTTTGCTATCGTCAATTAATAAATTAGAAATAATCGGGGATCTTGGTAAAGAATTGCTCATTTTTCGGATTTTGCCAAACCAGTGTTACTTGTACTTACTTGTCCACTTGTATTCACTAATACCGAGCGCTTGCTTCTAAGGTTCTTAGGCTGGTGCTTAGGTTCTAAGGTGCTTGAGTTCTTAGGTGCTTAGGTTCTAAGAATCTTAGGTTCTAAGGTTCTCAGGTTCTTAGGCTGGCGCTTATACCTTGATGTTTAAATAGGGTCTAACTTATATTTTTCTTCTCGAGCTATACCAGTGAGATTGACATGTCTTTTATAAGAGATTGCGAAATCACTAATAAACTATACAAGGTAAATTGCCTTAATAGGACACCATACTTTAGAAACTGCTAACAAAGAACAGGAAACGTTAAAAATATAAAAGTGGGGAAGAGATTTTTCAGAGCCTATTTGCATGTGGTAGCAGACGTGGTAGCAGACCATCAAACCACCTCATCCCCCTGGCTGAAAGGAAGTGACAAGAGAGCCCCAAAAGACGGAATGAAAAAAGAAAAGCTTAACGGGGGCGGATATGATCCATGCACACATACTGTGGTGTGACAAATCCGCAAGGTATTGAAGATGAGATAAGGAGGTAATGACTATGACAAAGGATGCATATATTTCCCATACTTTCCATAGTTGCCATAGTTGCCATATTTCCCAATGGGGGCGAGGGGGTTGAGTTGTTTAATTCATCTATTCGGTTGATCCCGGTTTGTACTAAATTTCTCTCTAATTTAACTTGTTTCCATGTCTCAGTTTAGTTCTTTTGGTTAGGGCCAATTACGAAAATGCGTTTTCTTAAGGTAATCTCAAAATAACAAGTAAATAAGAAATGTGAACAAGAAGTAAACAAAAATCTTATACAAGAAGTAAACAAAAATCGTATGTTTTCTCTCAAGGGAGCTTTTTTAACCCAAGACCCTGAATTAATTTTTAAACAAAGAGGGATTGGGGGGATTGGGGGATTGAGGGCTGGGCGGCTAATAAAACAGATATTTTCTTATCTCTCAAGATCTACGGCATAAAGAAAAAAAACTCCGACTTGCTGGGCAGGAGAGAAATAAAATAAACTTTGACAAAGACACTATCGAGCAAAGCGAGATAGTGTCGATAGTATGGCTATAAAGTGTTGCTCGATAGTGTCGATAGTATGGCTATAAAGTGTTGCTCGATAGTGTCGATAGTATGGCTATAAAGTGTTGCTCGATAGTGTC